CAATGACACCGGCTCCCGGCTACTTTTTATTTAACCCTTCTCCACTTTTCTTTTCTATTCTGTTTCCTCGTTCTAGCCTTACAAAACCTACTGTCTTATTGCCCAGTGGGAGCTCTCAGTCTACTTAGTAGAATGAAGTTCACCCTGATTCATGAATCATGAATAAAATCCAGTAAGATCTATAATAAATTTGTTGTTGGAATTCTGGATTTTGGTGTCTCTTATATCCCCCTACAAATGCCACACCATATGCAAACATACCCCCTAAATATATGGACAGGTTAAATCAATATGCAGCATGTAACTTGTGATTATGTGTAATTTACAGACACGTGGCAACCTCATTACATTCCTTGCATCTTTTGTTTTTCCTGTCTTACTGTAGTCTTTATTTTTTTTTTCTTTGAGACAGGCTCTAGTTGTATAGCTCAGGCCGGCCTTGTTTTCTTTTTCTTTTTTTGGGGGGACCGGGGTTTGAACCCAGGGGTTCACACTTAGACAGCAAGTGCTCTACCACTTGAGCCACACCTCCAGTCCATTTTGCTCTGGTTATTTTGGAGACGGGGACTCACACAAACTGTTTGCTGGGGTTGGCCTCGAATAGCCAGCCTCCTGATTAATCTCAGCCTCCCAAGTAGCTAGGATAACAGGCATTAGCCATTGGCACTCAGCTTTTTTTTTTCCCAGTACCATTCCAGACTGACAGAGCTACAAATCTCTTCTCAATGTGTGCAAACTCATCAGATGGGCAATGTCTCCCCTCTTTTTCCTCTCTATGGGATCCTCCTCCTGTGCACAGCTTCTGATGGTGGGCTCCCTAAAGCCAAAGAAGTCGAACTCGGATGTGACCTTTTCAGCCCCCCACAATCTGTCCTCCATCTCTCCACCTCTTCCCTCAAACCCCTTCCTCCTTAGCAAAATGCTAGGTTTATTTGGGCTTTGAAATAGTCCCATGAAACTTATCCAGGGCTCTTAGGAAAATGACTCAGCCTGACCAAGTCCAAAGTGAGTTTGTGACATTTTGTGCCCAAAGTAAGGAGGTGCTCAAATGACGAGGGGTTACCGAAAGGCACAGGAGGCATGGAGAGTCCCACAGCAAAGCCCGGGCCAGTGTGGGCATTAAAAACTGACCTGGGGCTGAGCACATAGGCAAGGGACAGAGTATTTGCCTGCACTTGCCTGCCATGCACAAAGCCAGGTTTATCAGAAAAGAAAGGATGGAAGGAAGAGAGAGCAACAGAGGGAGGGAGATGGGGGAGGAGAGACAAAAGAAAGGCAGGGAAGGAAGGGAAGAAGGAGGGAAGGGAGGGAGGGAGGGAAGAAGGAAGGGAGGGAACAAGAGAGAGGGAGGGAGGGATGGAGGGGGAAGAGGGATGAAAGAAAGAAATGGAGGAAAGGAGGAAGGAAGAAGGGAGGGAAGGAAGGAGGAAGAAAGGAGGGAGAGAGGGAGGGAAGGAACGAAGGAATGGAGAGAGGGAGGGAAGGAAGGGAGATTAATTTTAGAAATTCAAATCAAGCCAGAGGCCAGTGGCTCACACCTGTAATCCTAGCTACTTGGGAGGCAGAGATCAGGAGGACTGGGGTTCAAAGCCAGCCTTAGCAAATAGTTCCAGAGACCCTATCTTGAAAAAGTCCATCACACACACACACAAAAGGCTGGTGGAGTGGCTCAAGGTGTAGACCCTGAGTTCAAAACCCCAGTACCACAAAAAAAAAAAAAGAAAGAAAAGCACAAAGAGCTGGGGGTGTGGCTCAAGTTGTAGGCCCCGAGTTCAAGTCCCAATACCGCAAAAAAAAGAAAAGAAAAAGAAAATAGACAAATCTAGGTTATAAGACAGTCTACAAGTAACTGCCTGAACCCGTCAAAACTATCAGTGACTTAAAAGCCATCCTCTACTCACCTGTCATAGAAGGTTCTACAAGACTAAAGAGACATGAGACATAAAAGCAATGTGTCACCTAGATCAGATCCTGAGTCTGGGGCGGGGGAGCTACTCTATGTCCATCAGTGAGATGATGGAGGACATTTGTACTAAATATCTCATTGTTACATTTTTTATGGTTATGATACTCTGGTTATGTTGGAATGTCCTAGTGCTGAGGAGATGCAGCTCAAGCAAGTACTTAGGAGCAAAGTATCCACTATTTTAGTTTGTTTCTGCTGCTATAACAAAATGCATGAGGCTATGAAGAATGGGAATTTCTTTTCTCACAGTTCTGGAGGCTGGGAAGGCCAACACAGAGGTGCTGGCATGTCCAATTGCTGGTGAGGTCTGCTTTCTGCTTCCAAGATGGTACCTGATGCTGTACCCTGCAGAGGAAGGAACACCTGTGTTCTCTTGTTTAAAGATCACCCGCATTTAACCTGATAGGTTTTCTTTAATAGTTCAAATGTGCACAAAGATTAGGCCCACTGCTACTCGGAGGGAAATTACAAGTCATTTGTGAGTCACTTGTGGTCACTCCTTGACTTTTCGCCATTTTGCTTCTTCTCACCTTTGACACCTTATGGAGATTTCAGGATGGCAGTTGAGGTTGCTAGCCTGAATTTTTCTTTTTCTTTTTTTGATTGTACTAGGATTTGAACTTGGGGCCTTAAGCGCTCTAATTGAACTATGCTCCAGCCCTGCCAGCCTGATGAAATGGAAGTCAAAGAAAAGTTTCTGTTACACCTTTGTCATCATCCCACGTGCTCCTCTGTGGGCTCTATCTACTCCAGCACTTACCAAGCTATTTTCTTTCTTTCCTCCCTGCTTCCTTCCTTCATTTCTTTCTTTTTGTGGTACTGGGGTTTGAACTCAGGGTCTCACATCTTGAGCCACTCCACCAGTCCTTTTCTGGTGAAGGTTTTTTTTGAGATAGGGTCTCGCAAACTACTTGCCCAGGCTGGCTTTGAACCTCAGTCCTCCTGATCTCTGCCTCTTGGGTAGCCAGGATTGCAGGTATGAGCCACTGGCGCCTAGTGCTATTTTCTATCTGGTTCCTTGACAAGGTCTACCTCGCTGCCCAGTCCACTGGTCTCCTGGCGTGGCATTTCTGACCTCTGCATTCCCAGTTCTAGCATCTAGTCCCAAAGTTACCATGAATGTCTACCTACCACTAACTCCCTTTCTTTCCTGCTTACCTTTTCTGACACTTGTTTTCAGTAAGTGGTTTTCAATTATAGAAATTCAATTTGAATGCCAGGCACCAGTGACTCACACCTGTAATCCTAGCTACTCAGAAGGCAGAGATCAGGAGGTTGGAGGTTCGAAGCCAGCCCAGGGAAAAAGTTTGTGAGACCCTATCTTGGAAAAAACCCATCACCAAAAAGGGCTGGTGGAGTGGCTCAAGGTGTAGGCCCTTGAACACCTGAGTTCAAACCCCAGTACAGAAAAGGGCTGAGTATAGTGGCCCATGCTTGTAATCTTAGCTACTCAAGAGGCAGTCTATCCGGAGGTTTGAACTCATGGCCTTATGCTTGCTAGGTAAGCCAGGCCCCCACCCCTTTCTGGCTTTTCTTTTTCAGGTAGATTTTCAGGCTTTTGCTTGGTCCATGACCCTTACCTAGTGCCTCCCACGTAGCTGGGATCACAGGCACACGTCACCACACCCAGCTGCTTGTTGAGATGCAGTCTTGCCCAAATTGGCCTGGAACCTCAATCCTCCCAATTTCTGCCTCCTCAGTAACCGGGATTACATATGTAAGTCACCGCATCTGGTTTCATTTTTTGAGACAGGGTCTCACTATGTAGCCCAGGCTGGCCTCAAACTTGGGATCCTTCTACCTCAGACTCCCAAATATTGAGATTACAGGACTGTGTCTGTACATGGTTAATACCTGGCCATTACCTGGTTCATTTTTATGGTCTCTTATTCATTGTACATTTAAAAAATAAAATTTTAGATGTACAGCACACAATTTCAGTTACCTGTGACACTAACTTGACAGTTTGATAGTGCTATGTTAAAATTTTTAAGAAAACACAAACTAGGGATAAAACAGGCAGTAAAACTTGTATTCTAGTCTCATGCTGACACTTCCAGCTTTATGAGAAATATGAGGAAGATACTGAAAAATTTTTTGTTTTGAATCCAGTGTTTTGCACTTGCAAAGCAGGCACTCTACTGCTTGAGCCACACCTCCTCCATTTTGCTCTGGTTATTTTGGAGATGGGGTCTTGGGAACTATTTGGCTGGGCTGGCCTCGAATCACAATCCTCCTGATCTCAGCCTCCATATTTGTTAGGATTACAGAGGTGAGCCACCAGTGCCAGACTGAAATGAAATTCTTGAACAGACAGAAGAGAGAATTCTTTCCAACTACAATTTGTTTTCCTTCAGAATCAGTAATAAAAAGAATTTATGGTGTCCAGGCCTGGGGAAGGGGAATGGAGAAACGTGGCTTATTGGAGGTGAGGTTTTTGTTTGGGGTAATGACAAAGTTCAGAGCTACATGGCAGGGATAACTGTGTATTATGGTTGTACTTAGAACCACTTAAAATCATTTAAATGAACACTTTTGTCTTTTTTTGTTGGTACTGGGATTTGAACTCAGGGCCTCCCTCTTGGTAGGCAAGCATTCTGCCACTTCAGCCATTCCCATTCTTTCAGATGGAGTCTTGAGCTTTTGCCCAGGCTGGTCTTGGACTGTGGTTCAAGTGTCTCTGCCTCCTGGGTAGCTGGGATTACAGGCACGTACAACCATGTCCAGCTTGTGTTATGTGTATTTCACAATTTTAAACAGAATTCACAAATCCCTGCTAAGCATAAGGGGCTTAGGAATGGAAAGCACATCTATTGGTTCTATCTGTGTGCACAGGGACAGAATAATTCCTGCTCTCTGAGACGTCAAGGGAGTTTCAAAATCACTGTCATCAAAGTACACTCTGTGGCAGTAAGACGGACAACTGACAGGGCCAGCCCACAGTGACTTCACAAGCACTCAGTCTCCCTGCAGCCCTACCTCCACAACCTTTGAGAATGAAGCACTCGATACCAAGACACATTTCAAACGGCTTAACTTTAAAAATATTCTATTCAGTGCTAAAATATGTCTTCACACGCTGTTGCTCATTTCCATTTTGCTTAAACTTTTTTTGAAACAAAAAATAAAATCGAAGTTCAGTTAAACATGCAGATTTCAAAGAAAAGGGAACCTTCTAGAAAGTGTGAGCTGGAGGTGTACCGTGGGGCAGGTACTGTTGTCGGAACCTCCGATCCTTGCTGGGGCAGAGTATGTGGCGGGAGGCGGGGATGCTGGAATGAGGTGCACAGGTGCAGAGCTGCGTGTGCGTGAATGCGTGTGCGTACGTGTGTTGGGGACAAGGACCACGGTCTGGCAGGCACAGACTGTCAGCAGCGAGAGATCCTGGGAGAGGCAGGACCGTCCCAGGAATGGGCCTGGACAGAAGGCGACCCACGTGGACTTTGTGCCCAGCATGGAGAAGAGCCTTCCTTCCTGGGAATCCTTCCTCCCATTGTCTCCACCAGTCCTTTTCCAACAGCAGCCCAAGGGCCCAGCCCTGAGGGAAAGTCTGTTCAAGTTCATGTAACCCTGGCAGCTTTCTTCCAGGGTGCCTTCCACATCTTTCTCACAGAAGTGCCAGCAGCTCAGCCCAGAGGTTCTGCAGCACAGAATGCTACCTGGAGGTGACGGATGAACCCTGGAGTGGCTGGTGCACCAGCCTACTTGGGGTGCAGCAAGGACGTGAGTGCGCCTCTCCTCAGGAGCAAGCGACACGGTGCCAGGAAGATGGTGCGACAACCCCAGTCCTACGCCAGCCTTCCAGCCCAGAAGGCTACCATGTGCAGGCTCTGGACCCAATGCTTGCCCGTCCCCCAGCAACCCAGCATGGCCAGAGCCAGAACGCAATCAATAGAGGCAGGGCCAGAGGTGAGGGGGCCCGGGGAGTGCTAGCTTTCAGATGCTGTCTGCGGCACGGTGGGTTGGTCCACACAGAAGCGCTTCAGGGGCGGGGCGCCTGAGTCTTCCTCTTCCTCAGCAGTCTAGGAGCAGGGAGAGCAGGAAATGACAGGGCCATCCCTCTTGAGATCCTGCCTGCCCACCCTCACTGCAGCCCAGAAGCTCCCCCTGCCATGTCCTGGCAGACAACCTGGAAGACACCAGGCCCCTGGCCTCCACCCCCAACTGTAGCACAGGCAGTCTCCTTTTTCCTTGGAAATGGGAAAGGCCAGAGGACGCCATACCTGTGTCTCCAGGGGCACTGGTTCTTCCTTTGTGAGGGTGGGAGGTTCATCAGCGACTTCTGAGGCAGGCAGGGAGGGCTCTGGAAAAGCAGCAGGTCAGCCCAAGGGCAGAGCTCAGAGGCAGGAGACAGCCTAGGGCGGTTATCCTGAGTCCCACTGAGATGATTTAGTGCAGACAGACCAGGGACCTGGGAATCCCATATGCAGGGTCTGGCTGAGGAGCCACAGTCACTGATGGGAGATGGGCACAGGGGACTGCCACCGATATCAGACTTGGGAGCTTGGCTTATCTCACAGACACCTGCATCTAACCCTACATGTTCCAAGGGTCATGAGTGCCACTTCCTACCCAGAGCCCCACCTCCCTGGCTCATCTAGTGCAAAGGTCCACCCTCTCTGTGATGCTCCTGTAGGACCCTGCACACCCCTTCCCCTTAGCACTTTCCGGGCCATGGCCACCATTTTAACTCAGTCTCCCTGTTTTATGAGAGGGTTGCTATGAGAACTAGATAAAACAGTGCATGGAAGGAGCTAGAAGCAGCATGGTAACAGTCTCCATTTCCTTATCTGGAAGTGAAGACAGTAGCTGCTATCTCACAGGCTTTCTGGAAGAACTGTGCCAGGTGTCAACAGGAACGGCCCTTACACAGAGCCCAGAGCTCAACTGTGCTGCTTCTTTTCTTCCTTCATTCTGTGCAAAGGGAAAATAATCCTTCTTCAAAATATCGTGAGCTGTTCCCAAATGGCCCGGATGCTGCCAGGGTCTTACTCCAAATGGAGACATCAAGGCCAAAGGAAAGGACCCTCCACAACTTACCCTCGAGGATCTCCTGGCCCAGAGTCGGGGGCTGGGAGTCATCCGTGCGGAAGTCGGACGTGTGGGCTGGGCTCAGGGACTCGCTGGGCTGGGGGCTAGGGCTCGAGTTGGTACTGCTGTCCACCTTGAGCTGATAGACATCAGACACAGAGCTCTGGTTGCTGTTCTCGTCTGAAAACACAGCACAGCAAAGGCAACCACTGGAGGCGTGTCTTCACCCAGAGCCAAGGACCCAGCATGAGGGCAGACAACCATGAACACAATGGCTCAGTGATCCCTGCTGCAGACACCCTGGAGAGGGCAGGCACTGGTGGGTTTCTATGCACCACCAGCTGTCTGTGGCCTAAGGCAAGGGGAAAGCACCTTCTCTTTCACAACATACATTCTAAGCGCCACAGGAAGCCAAAGTCTTCAGGTTTGTACTTCAGGAAGGTCAAGTTATGTTTATTTCATCACTTTTTTTTTTTTTCTTTCAGCACTGGCATTGGAACTCAGAGCCTCACACTTGTTAGTCAGGTACTCTACCACTTGAGCCACTCTGCCTGCCCTTTTTTGTAATGGGTTTTTTTTTTTTTTTTTTTGAGATAGGATCTCACAGACTATTTGCCTAGACTAGCTTTGAACTGTGATCCTCCTGATCTCTGCCTCCTGAGTAGCTGGGATTACAGGCGTGAGCCATTGGGCCTGACTCTTCGCTTTTTTTATTACCCACCAGATAAAGATTGGGCCTGGTACTTTCTCACTGCCTGGCAAAAGAGAGGGGTATAGCTGTCCAAGTGGTCAGAACTTTACAACTTCCTTTTTTTTTTTTTGACAGTGTTGGGATTTTAACTCAGGGCTTTGTGATGACCAGGCAGGCTCCCTGTAGCTCAAGCCACACTTCAGCCTGGAGCTTCAGGATTTTTCTCATTCCACAGAAAATGAGAAAACTCATCTGACACTCTGGTCAGCTTAGGCACCTTCAGCCACCTGACTGCCCCAAGGATGGGGGCTTGCCATCGGGGCACTATCTGAAGGCTTAAAGTCATCTTCGAAGTTAGAAGTGGACCTCGTTCCTTCTCCCTCCCTCCAGCAGCCAATGTCTCCTCCGGCTCTGAACTTGGTCTTTGCTGCTTCTGCTCCTGCTGTCTCTATTTAAGCCTCAGGTCTCCTGTACTTGCATCATGACCAGCTGAAACACTCTGATGGTTCCTGCTGCGTGGAGAACACTCTAGTGCTTCTTAGAGCAGACAGGAGATGGGACTGCCACAACAGAGTCCATTCTGCACCCAGCTCATTGCCTGCCTCTCTCTCACAGGCACCCTTGGCAACAGCAAGCTGGACGCTAACCCAAGGGCTGTTCACACAGCTGCTTCTGCCCACCTGCTCCTTATGCTAGTGTGACATTATCTTCCCCATCTCTCTAGAAAGCCCCACCCGGGCTCCATCATTCCCTGTGAGCACCATGTTCTATGCAGAGCTCTGCCTCCCTGGCTCACCACTCTCTCATCCAGGTTCATATTTGACCCTGGGCCCCCTACATTTATTATTGCACACTCCTGCTGTCTGGATGGGCAGGCTCTCGGGCTGATTTGTCACCAACTCCCCAGGCAACATATGGTAAGCAAGCACCTGGCTCACAGGGGGAGTTTATCACACAGGTGCTGAATAAAAAGGATGAGGTATAACCAGGCTGAGGAAATGTCTTTATGATATCAACCACCCCCCATTAGCCAGAGAACCCATACATGTACTCTCCTTCCTCTATTACACCCACTTGGCGGGCTGAGAGGAGGTCAGAATTCCAAGTCTAGTTCCGAAGAGAAAGCCCTAAGACTGCCCGCTCCTCACTCTTAGCAAGACTACTACTCTACACGTTAGAATGGAAGTGGCATTTTATTACAAAGAGCCTCGGCAAACGCTCCTGAGCACCACCTTCCTTCAGTAGATGACAGCTCTGCCTGGTTTCTATCACAGGCTAACGGAGGGTAAAAAGTGAGACACAGAAGCAAAGGTGCTTCACAAACAGTAATTGCCATGTAGGTATGAAACGCACTGAAAGCTAGTGCTGTGGCTGCAGGGGTGACACAGAGAGGGCTGGCTTAGGAGGCAAGAAGCCTTGGTTTTGGGTAGCCTACTCTAATGCACACTCATAAAATCTACCCATTTGCTAAGAAAAGAGGGCTGGGGCTGCAGCTCAGTAGTAGAGCTTGCCTCGCATGTGCAAGGCCCTGGGTTCCATCTCCAGCACTGAAAAAAGGAACAAAGGAAAAGAGCTCTGATCCCCCAAACCAGGTTCCACCACGGGGTCTGTCACCTACCCTGCAGGCTATGGAACTTTCAACCCCTAACTTCAGTTCTGAGCCTCGCCTTCCTCCACTGGAAAATGAGGGTCCTTACCATCGACCCTGCAGAGGCACTGTGAGGTTTAAATGCAGACTTGTATGAAGTGCCTGGGAAATGCCAGCAAAAGTGTAAGCACAGAAATGACTTGCAGAGCTGCCCTTCTTCTGTTTTCTCATCTAAGCTTTCTTCTTCCTGCAAGGAAGACTTGTGTACACAACTCACCCTGGAATTCAAGAAGGAGAGAGGAATTGGCTGAGGCGTCAGAAGGAAAGCCATTAGGTTCCCGGGTTGCTGAACTGTTCGATTTTGACTTTTCTTTCTAGAAAAGGAAAAAAGAGGGATGTGACAAGAGCCAAGCAAGGTACTCACAAAGAGGGAGAAGGGTGTTATCTGAGAGCCCATCGAGGGCGGGATTAGGGCCAATCAGGAATGATGGGCACAGGGTGAGACTCCAAGGGCAAGGCCAACAGCACTGTGGTCAAGGTGCTTGTGAAGCCTCACTGTCTAGCTGTGAAAGGAACCCTTCCCAAGCAGACAACCGAATCACAGTGCCAGGCAGATGCTCTTGCCTGTACTGGAGCACCCTGAGGTTCTCTTCTACCCTGATCAAATACATGTCCCCACAACACTGTACCTCGACACTTTCAAAGGACATGGCAGCTTAGAGGCAGAGCCTTTGCCTAGCATGTGCAAGGCTCTAGGTTCAATCCCCAGCATAGCAAAATAACATACAAATATTCAAAAATAATAATTAAAAAATACTAGATTAAAAATTAAAATATTAAAATAATACATAAATAGTAGTAGTTTGACAGCACCCATACCATTTGGCTTTACCACTTTTTTTTTAATAGGGTCTTGCTATGCAGCCCAGCCTGGCCTGGAGCTCCAAATTCTGCCGCAGCCTCCCGAGTGCTGGGATTACAGGGATGCACCATCACACCTGGCTACCATTAGATTTTTTGTGGTCTCCAATTTACCTTTATTTTAATGATTCTGTACTCATGTAAAAATATGTATTCACTACAGGAAATTCTGAAAATGCAGGAAAAAAAAAATCACCTGGACAACCAGAGACAACCTGCACAGATGCTTGTATCAAAAAGGACCCCAGCTGTTCTACCCTGCATTGTAACTTGTTTCTCCTCACTGTGTTACAAATAGTTCTCTATGGCAATGAGCCACCTTTTTACCCCAGTCACTGGGGAGTGAACCCAGGGCCTGGAACTTGCCTCCTGAGTAGCTCTACCACTTTTTGTTTTTGACATAGGGTCTTGGGCTGGCCTGGAACTTGAGGTCCTCCTGCCTGTACCTCCGGAGTAGATGGAATTACAGGTGTGCTCTATCACAACCATCTTACAATGTCTTTTATGACAGTCACACAGCTTTATAAGATTGAGTGCACAGTAATTTAGTGAATTCTCATCACGTGATTTTTTTGTTATTGTTGTTGCTGTATTGGGGTTTTAATTCTTTTTTTTCCCTGGGGTTTGAACTTGAGCCACTCCACCAACCCTTTTATTGTGATGGTTTTTTTGAGATAGGGTCTCATGAACTATTTGCCTGGGCTGGCTTCAAACCACTATCCTCCTGATCTCTGCCTCCTGAGGAGCTGGGATTACAGGTGTGAGCCACTGGCGCCCAGCTGTTTTGTCTTTTGTTTTAAAGAGCTACAGTACCAGCCAGTTCCCTGGAAGTCCCAATCTTCATGCCTCACAGCCTCCTGAGTGCTGGTATTATAGGCAGGTACTGACATTCCTGGTTTCCACCTGCCATTTTTGAACACAGCATGCACGAAGAAGTATGACACAGAACTGAGCGTGCTCAAGAATGTGCCCTCCACGTGGGATGAAGTCTTTTCCCGGGGTGTGTTTGAGACCCAGCACAAGCTCAGTGTGCTGGGGAGGCACTGCTGTGGATCACCCCCGTGCTCCTCACTGGCTTCAATAATGAACCTTTCTTTGCTCTCACCTCCTGGCTGTGCGCTCACCAAGATGGGAGTCCATAATACTCAGTTAAAGAGTAAGGAATAAAAACTGTGTTAATAACTCAGAATGCACCAGGAAAATGGTAGGAGATGAACAAGTAAGGGAAAGGTTAAGAAATAAAGCAGCTAGGGACTGGGAGCGTAGCTCTGTGGAGGAACACTTGCCTACCAGGAAGGAGGGAAGGAGGAAGGAAGGGAGGAAGCTGCAGGATGCAAACATTACAGAAATCCTAGGAGATCAAAGAATAAAGTCTACAATTCCAGGAAGACAAATGTATATCCACCAGAAAGAGTGAAACACACACACGGGCATCACCTTGGGAGTTATGAATGAGAAAAGAACAATTAGCCTGTAGATTATATGGTATGTGTGTGGCCTCAAAGAAGGAAAAGATTTCTTTCTGGCCTTTTTTTTTTTTTTCTTGCTTGCTTGCTTTTTGTTTTTTCTACAGGATGTTGCTAGTAGTCCAAGCTGGCCTCAAACTCAAGATCCTACTGCCTCATCCTCCCCTGTGCTGGGATTATAGGTGTGCACCACAGTGCCCAGGTATAGAAAGAAAACAATTCTTAAGGCTTGATTTAAATGATCAATGACAAAGAAAAAGTAAGATTTTTGTTTACATTAAAACCAAACACTTCTCTTACTCAGGGGTCTCTGCAGAGTATAAAAAACAAGCCACAGATAGCATATGAGCAACAAACGGAGAGAAAGACTGTATAACAGAACAGAAAACTGGACAACAGACTTAAACAGGCACTTCCTGAAAGAGGAAATCCAGAGTGGGTAACACTGAATAAGTACTCAACCTCATTACCAATTACATAATTAGTCATCAAATGAAAGCCACCAGGAGGCAGCTTCACACAAAGCAACTACAATGGCAGGAACATGTGCCTAGGAGCACACACACACATGGCGACCTGTGTCCTGAGCAGGAATGTTCACAGGGTCACTATTCCTATAATCTCCAAACCAGGAACAATCCAAAGTCCACCTCCAGGAGAGCCACAAACAGTAATTATGGGGGCTTGTAGCGTACCTTGGTAGGAGGGAGAGAGGAAGGGTAATTATGATACATTTATATAACAGAACTCCGCACAGCAAGGCAAAGGAACAAACAGATTCAAAGGTGATACTGACTTATTTTACAAAAACAGAAGAAAAAGCAAGGCACACAAAAGCAGACGTTTTACGACATTGGTCACGCACTTGAAACATTTATAAATGACTGGAAAAGTGGTAGAGGCAAAAGCAAGAGGGTGAGTGCCCTAGAGGAGGGAAGAGTGGCACAGAAACATTTAGGGACTGACAACACTCCTGACCCGGCTTTAGCCCAGGATGGCTTGAATTTGAGATCTTCCTGCCTCAGCCTCCAGGACAGCTGGGATTACAGGAATGGACCACAACACCCCAAGATGCTACACATTTTTTATGATACACGGGATCCAAACAGATTACTCAGAAAGGCCTATGTCAGAATCAGAAAGGTATGTGGATATGTAACACACCTACTCCAGTGGGTGGCCAACCAGGCAAGAGCAGGAGTTAGCAAGCAGTTTCTTAAAATGGTCATAAATATTTAAGAAAAAGGCTGAGCATGGTGGTACACAACCGTACGCCCAGCACTCAGGAGGCTGAAGCCGGCCTACTAGTGAGATCATCTCTCAAAAAACAAAACCAAAGCAACAGATTAGAAAAAAAATATTTTAGGTTCTGAGCAATCCTGTCGCATGACAATGTCTGTAAGTCAAGAGCAGCCACTGACAAATAAGGACACCAGCGGGCTACACTGAGAAATGCGCCAAGCAGCCTGGACCATGGTCTGTCAGTCCTAGAGAAGTGGACTGGATTGAGAAAAGGTTTTGAGGTGGGGAATTACTAAAGTGAGGTCTTAGTTGGGTGCCGGTGGCTCACGCCTGTAATCCCAGCTACTCAGGAGGCAGAGATCAGGAGGATTGAAGTTTGAAGACAGCCCAGCAGAGTTCCAGAGACCCTATTGTGAAAAAAAAAAAAAAAAAAAAAAAAATCATGAGAAAACGGCTGATGGAGTTGCTTAGGGTGCAGGCCCTGAGTTCAAACCCCAGTACCACAATAAAAAGAAATAAAATAAAGTGAGGTCTCATTTGGACCTCCAGCAGAGGATAGCTTAAAGTATCTACAATTCCACCCTGGAGAAATAAATTTGTTTCTAATTAAAAGAGGCAAAGGAAGAAGGAAAGGAAAAGGAAGGGAAGGATGGAGGGGGACGGGGAAGGAAAGGAAGAGAACTTCCTTTCTGTTTTTGTCATTTCTTTCACTTACCTCCTTGCTGTCTGTCACAGGAACCCACTTAAATATCCTAAGGGATGTGTCACCCACAGTCACCCACTTTTTCTCCCTAAAAGAACAGGCATTTCTTAGAATTAATTAAATAAAACCACTTTTTGGTTCATCAACTTTCGCTTTGCTGTTCAGCAGATCACGTCTTCAATCTACAGTACCTCTAAACTCCATCACAGGAGACCAGATGTTGTGTCTGGAGAACAGGAAGTAGTCAAGTTAGGGAGAACAAGACTGCACCTGGACCCATCGGGCTGGGAATCCACACACATGTTCTTTCTCACTCACACTTGAGTTGTGTTGTGTGCTTTTCTCTCTGCCAAATGTGTGAGTTTCACTTCTTTCTTTTTTTGGTGGTGTTACTGGGGTTTGAACTCAGGGCCTACACCTTAAGCCACTCCACCAGCCCTTTTTTGTGATGTTTTTTGAGATAGGGTCTTGTGAACTATTTGCCCAAGCTGGCTTTGAACCTCAATCCTCCTGATCTCTGAGTAGCTGGGATTACAGACTCAGGCCTGAGTTCCATTTCTAAGACGCTGGGAGACTGAGAACCATCAGCCATTTAGCATATAAACTGCAACGAAGTCAAGGGGGCCCCGTTCATCAACCAACATGGTCCCCTTTGCAGCAAAACTCCCAGAAGTCACTTAGGAACTCCCACTACAAAACGGCCCTGGGGCAGTCACTCTAACCTTTCTTTGGCCCTCATACTTCCTACTCATGGTTCCTTCTCTCACACTCATTACAGCATGACATTGTTTTTGTCTTTATTTTACCTAGCAGCTATCAGTGTTTTTGACCTATCAGCTAATTTACAAAACTATAGCCACAGTGAACATTACAGGTCATTAATGCATCTTCAAAATCCCTATCATTCCTTTCCTAGTAACAATATAGACAAGCAGAAATAAACGTACAGGCCAGATTTGTTTGTTTTGTTTTTTTGAGACAGGCTCTTGAAGTGTAGCCCAGACTGGCCTTGAATTCTCAATCCTCCCGCCTCAGCCTACCAGGGGATGGGATTACAGGCATGCACCACCAGGCCCAGCAAAAACTTTGAAAGAAAAGGATGAGGGCTAAGGATGTGACTCAGTGGCAGAGTGCTTGTTCGGCATGCTCAAGGCCCTGAGTTCAATCCCCTGAATGTGGAAAAAAAAATTAGAAATATTTCTAAGTCTCTCTAGGTTGGTCTTTGACTATGTCTCTTCTCCATCTTTCATGTAACGGTTCCTGCAAGGGGTAGACACCTCGAGAAAGACACATGTACTGTGAGAAGGTAACGGGTGTGATAATGTAAGATCCTTTCCCATTCTGGGAGATCAAGACTACCTAAAAACTTTCTGAAGAAATTTTAAAATTTCAACCTTAAAGTTCAAGCTTTGTTGAAATCCTTGTCTCTCAGTGTCCTGATGAGGAAGAAATGGAAGATTTAACCACCATACTCTCAAAGTAAGCAAGCAAAGGCTTAAGTAGGGATGAATATCCCTTGTACCTTCAATATGCTTCTTCTGGGGGCGGGGAAAGTACTGAGGTTTTGAACTTAGGGCCTTGAGCTTGCTAGACAGGTGCTCATCCCTTGAGTAACACCTCTGGGCCATTTTGTTTTAGTTTATTTCTCAAATAGTGTCCCTTGATTTTTTTTTTTTTCCACCTGTGCTGGCCTTGTACTGCAATCCTATCTTTGCCTTCCAACTAGCTGGGATTATAGACATGTACCACCATACCTATCCTTCCTGTTTTGCTTTTATTTATTTTTTTGGAGGTACTGGGATTTGAACTCAGGGCCTCACACTTCCTAGGCTCTACCACTTGAGCCACTCTATCAACCCTTTTCTGTGAAGGGTTTTTTTGATAGGGTCTCTCAAACTATTTGCCCAGGCCAGCTTCAAATAAAGATCCTCTGATCTGTGCGTCCTGAGTAGCTAGACAACAGGAATGTATAAAGGGACGTAGGCCCTTTTTACTTTTTTTTTGGAAACAGTATCTTGCTCTGCTGCACAAGATAACCCCAAACCACTGGGCTCAAGTGATCCTCCTGACTCAGTTTCTCCAGCAGATGGGACTACAGTTATGCATCTCAGGGCTAAGTTACCATTTTTCTAGGTCAAAAAGTCAAATATAGGCCGGGTGCCAGTGATGCATTTCCTAGGTTCAATATCTAGCTCCAGGAGGGAAAAAAATAACTTTCTTTGGTTTTCATCCTAAAAGTAAAAAATGGCCACTGAGTCAGGTGCTCACGCTTGTAATCCTAGCTACTGGGAAGGCAGAGATCAGGAGGATTAAGGTTCAAAGCCAACCCAGGCAAATAGTTCAGGAGACCCTATCTCCAAAAAACCCATAACAAAAATAGGGCCACTGTAGGGGATCAAGGTGTAGGCCCTGAGTTCAAACCCCAGCACCTTGGGAAAAAAAAGATAAAAGACCACTGAATCCATCACTGGAAACAGAGATACGCATTTTAAAACGCGTACTCCAGTACTTGGAAGAACGTGTAATGACTGGCCCAGGAGAGCAGCAGCAGGGAGGTCAGGTGGATCATAAGGAGCCAGCTAGACTTCCAGGTGACAGAGGGTGGCCCTGTGGCTTAGGCTGATAGGTCAGAGATGGTAAGAAAACAAAGGAGTGCTGATTTTCAGGTTTCACTAAAACCTAAGGATTCCACGAGTGTGTGTGTGTGGGGGGGTAATCTATGAGTTAGTCCCCAGTACATAGGAAGCCCCTGGATATAGAGGAATCTTTGAACAAATAAACACTCAAAATGCAGCAAGCAGAGGTGGGGAGGAATTCCCGGAGACAGTTAACACCTGCCTGGACTTTTTTTTTTTTTTTTTTTTGGTGGGACTGTGGCCACACCTCCAGTCCATTTTATTTTGGTTACTTTGGAAATGGGTCTCGCAAACTAGTTGCCCGAGCTGGCCTCGAACCTCGATCCTCCCGATCTCAGCCTCCCAAACTGCTGAGATAAGAGGTGTGAGTCACCAGGCTGGTGAAGTTCAATGCAATGAGACACCTGAGTTCCTGATCAAAACGGGCGTTTCCAAACGACACTAGGGGCGGCTCCCAGGGCACCAAGAGAAAATACCACCGAGGGCGCAGCACGGGGTCGTTATTCCGACCATGGCGCCCGACCCCCTAACAGGTTAAGACTCATAGAGAAACTCTCACCAAACTTCAACGACTCAATACGCAGTGTCCAGTCCAGCGGACTAGGCCACTCTGACACCTGGCTACCATCACCAGGGAGTTTAGAAACGCCGGGAAGGAAGCCGCGCAGGGAGCCGAGACGCCCACTGCGCAACGCCGAGGCGCGGGCCGGAAGCCGCCTGCCCTTCCTGGATGCGCGCGGCCGCGGCAGGTGGGCGGGCCCAAGAGCCTGACGGCCCGCTGATTGGCTGCAGCCAGCGCTCCCTGTGACCTCACGTCGACGCCAGCGCACCCTCCTCCCGCCTTTTCCTACGCCCCCCTCCCCCAGCGCCGGCCCCTCGGCTCCCACCCCGCTTGTCTGTCTGGCGCTCTTCAAAGCCAGGACCCCACGACCTCTGGTAGCACCCTTTTGGCTCCGCTCACCATTTCCTCACTTTCTCGATGGCTGCCATCACCTTCTTGATGTCGTCTTTGGCCCGGCTGCGGGTCTCGGCCCGGACTGACCGGCCCGACATGGCGGCGGCGGGAGCGGCGGGGGCCAGGACACTGATCCCAAGACGCGGGGAAACGCGCGTTTCACGCGCCGCCGCCGCCGCCGCCGCCGCGTCACCGAGGCCGTCGCCCCCTCCGTGCGCGCGTGCGCGAGGAAGCGCGCGCCCCCGCCCGCCCGCTCCTTGGGGCCCGAGGCCTCAGCGCGCCTGCGCACCCCGCCCCGGGCGTCCCTCCCCGGCGCCCCGGGAGTCCCTTGGGCCCCATAGCGGGCGAGGTTGTGCGGCGACTTGGTCGCACGTGCAGTGCTGTGCGCAGGGCGAGGTGCGAGGCGCTGCTGGTGGGGTTCGCAGCCTTTCGTGGGGATTTGGCGGGGTTACCACCTTTCTGCTCTTGCTGCTTCAACGGATATGTAGACGTTCATGGAACTGGGGTTCTGCACCGTCCCTCCTGACCAGCGCCCATGCACCCCAGATGAACCGATTGCTCCAACCACGGAGAATTTCACACCTTTCTTCATCATGACTTCTCCCTCTGTACGCACCTGTGCTCCACCTGGAATCTCCTACCTCTTTACCGAAAGAACGAACTACTTTTCCAACATCCAGTTCCAACTCCAGCTTTTCCTGGCTATCCCAGGTTCCCTCTTGTTCATATGTCACTGTCAGGGAATTCAGTAATTGTTGACATTTTTTTTTCTTGCAGTACTGGCGCTTGAACTCAGGACCTACAAGTTGAGCCACTCCATCAGCCCTTTTCTGTGATGGATGTTTTTGGTTAGGGTCTCGTGTTACTTACCATTGCTACCTTCGAACCTTGATCCTCATTGCTGCCTCCTGAGTAGCTAGGACTATAAGCGTGAGCCACTGGCGCCCAGCTGTTTTGTGCAAGGGTCTGGACCAAGTGCTAAGGACATGTTTTTCCCTTCAAAGAGCTTCTGGTTCTAGAATGTGCAGAACAGAAAAAGGGTATTTGAAATGCCTTGGAGACAGGAATGGTGGTAAATGAATGTAATCCCAGCTATTTGGGAGGTAGAGATTGGGAGGATTGAGGGTTGAGGCCAGCCAGAGCAAAAGTGAGATTCTGTCTGAACAAACAAGCCAGGCATGGGAGGTGAATGCCTGCCAGCCCAGCAACTCTGGAGGCATAGGTAGGAGAATGGCTGTCCCAGGCCAGACCTGAGAAAAAGTGAGACCCTATCTAGAAAATAACCTAAAGCAAAAAGGGCTGGAGGCATTACTCAAGTGCTAGAGCACCTGCCTAGCAAGCACAAGGCTCTGAGTTCAAACCTCAGTACCACCAAAAAAGCCTTTTGATAAATGCTTGACTAAGAAAAATATAAGGCACTAATGACAACTGTAATCTAGACAAAGTGGCCTTGAAGCTGACTTCCGAGAACAGGATAGATGCTGTTGTTCCGAGGCATTGCTGCCCACAGACACTGTAGGGGCTCAGTAAATGTTTGGGTGAATGTTGAATCTTTAGTGGAGCTCCCACCCCCTTGTAGAAAAGCACTTATTGATGCCTTCAGTATGCAGGGAGAGTCTAGTAGCAGCTGTTAGAGGAGACATAGGAAGCAGGCAGGTAGTGGCTGCTGCTTTCACCTCTAGAGAAACTTCCTTCTACTGGATGTGGTGGTGCATGCCTGTAATCCCAGCTACTCAGGAGGCAGAGGTAGGAGGATCAAGGTTCAAGGCTGACCCAGGCAAAAATGAAGACTCTATCTAAAAAGTAACTAAAGCAAAAAGGATCAAATCAAGTAGTAAGGCCCTGAGTTCAAACCCCAGAACCAGAAAAGAAAGAAGAAATGTGCCCCAGAGAAATGCCTAGCTAAGCCTGAACTGGACACCACCTCTGATTATTACTGTTAGTCTTTCATGATCCACAAACATTATGGCTTGAAAAGCCTATGTTGTTTTACTGATGAAGGATCCACAAAGAGCTTCTGTCTGCCTGAGGAGGGAAGAGGTGCACTAGCACGTGGAAAGGATGATTCTAGAAATAACAGGATCAGAGGTGGCACATCTGTTTCCCAAACACAGCTTATCCAAAATCATGAACCCAAGTACTGCCTGAGCCGGTGTCAGGCAATCTGCCTTATGGCAGTGGACACCGGGTAATGCAAAGATGAGTAAGCTGAACCCTGTGCCCTGGAGGGGAAAGGAAGAAAAGAAGAAAAGTAGTAGGAAAATAGAGCAAGGCAGAGTTGGACACTGTGGCTCACGCCTGTAATCCCAGCTACTCAAGAGGCAGAGATCAGGAGGATCTCCGTTTGACGCCAGCCTGGGCAAATAACTCATGAGACCCTACCTCACAAAAAACCCTTCACAAAAAAGGGCTGGTGGAATGGTGCAAGGTGAAGGCCCTGAGTTCAAATCCCAGTACCGCAAAAAAAAAAAATCTTGTCACATAGCCCATGTTGGCCTCTTAACTCACAATCCTCCTGCCTCCACCTCCTGAGTGCTGGGATTACAGGTGTGAACCACCACACCCAGCTTCCCTTCCCCTTTTTTTTTTCCTGTGCATGTGCTGGGGATTAAACCCAGGGCCTCACACATGCTAAGAACATGCTGAGCACACGCTCTGCCACCAAGCCACACCCCCTGTAGCTTCTTTCTACTCCATAGCCCGCTGCTCCTCCAGCTGCTCCAGCCTCCTCTCTCGTTTCTCCTCCAGCCCACTGCCTGTCAGTCACCTTCCTTGGGCTGCCCCATGCCCTGAAGTCCCAGGGTGCTCCATTTCCTCCCACGTTCATTCACCTGGCTCTCCTTCCCCACCTGCTCTCACTGGGTACTCTGTTCTGTGAGAGAATGGCCACAGGGGCACCTGCAAACTGTTCCACAGAGGCTGCACCCAGGACCTCTGTTGACTCCCCCCTTTCTTTTACAAAATCACCTTGTTTTCTAGGTGAAGAGCCTGAGGGAAGATGATGAGGGAGATGCAGAGATGAGCAGCCCAGATCACTCCTTAGGGCAACTTGCATCCTGGCAATGGCTTTCCTTTGAGCTTAGAGTAAAAGCTGTAAGGCCTTTGGGATCCCCACTCTACTTCCCATTAATTCTCTTTGAAGATGTGCAGTGGATGCCTTATTCATCAGAAAACACCCCGTCAAGCTCCAACCTCAGGGCCTTTGCACGTCAGACGTCTCTCCACCTGGACCACCCCTCCCTCACTTGCCTACTGTCTTATTTTGTTCTTCCTCCACCCACTGTGAAATTAGTTGAGTGATAAAGGTTCTGTATCTCAGGGTTGTGGGGAGGATCTGGTGAGGTAGTGAGTGGGTGAACCATGTAAACTTTATAGTGCCTTGCAGTCACAAATGATCTGGTTTCCAGCACTACTGCTCGGCTTGTACTGTTTTCTTGAGGCAGAGACTATAGTCTCTGCTGCCCTTGAACTCACTGTGTGGCCTGGAACTCTACATCCTCCTGGCTCCATCTTCCAAGTGCTGGGATTACAGTCCTGAACCACCATACCTGGCTTCTGCCTGCATCCTTAGTTTCAGCTGAGCAAGACTTATACCTGGTTTCCCGAACAGACTTTGCCCACGTCCAGCTCTGAGCTACTACTGATGCTGTGCAGGACACCCTAAGGAATGTTCTCCCATTCTAATCCAGTCACTGTCTCCCTTGTAAATTCCCAAGATGCAACCTCCTCCACGTGTTCCAAGGCATGCATTCTCCCATTACCTAGATCCCGACATTTGATCCACCTCCCTCAGCCCATTCCTTTTTTCGTGGCATGGGGGTTTGAACTCGGGGCCTACACCTTGAGCCACTCCACCAGCCCTATTTTTTGATGGGTTTTTTTTCAAGATAGGATCTAACTATTTGCCCCAGCTGGCTTTGAACCGTGATCCTCTTGATCTCTGTCTCCTGAGTAGCTGGGATTACAGGCATGAGCCACTGGCTGGAAGTAAGTTTATCTTGACTGAGCAGAATCATAGGCAGGAACTTACTGGCCCTTCAGTACAGGTAGAAATTTAGTGTTGTCTGGATCCAGTGTCAACAGTATCAGTAGCACTGGATCTCTACTCTTTTGGCTCTGATTTCCCATAACTTCATTCACAAACTGGACTACATGTAACAGGCTCACATCCTATGTGCTGAGCACTTTGGGCAGAAAAACTGAAGATAGTTTCCCCTTTATACAAGTTCCAGCAAGATCCAAGGCACCTGCTGGTTGGCTATATGGCCCATTATGTAGGGTCTTCATCTATCCCCTGTAAATCATATGGATTAAGAGTTGAAGCCAGGTGTGGTATGCCCATCTGGAATCCCAGCACTTGGGAGGCTGGGCAGAAGGATCAAGAGTTCAAGGCTAGCTTGGGCTGCATAGGGAGTTGGGGAAGAGGTAGTTCACTAAACAAAACCTGAGCTGTAGTTGCCAGGAAAATGGCCAAGGCAAAATAGTGGAAGATGAAATGTTCAGCACCTTTCACTGTTTACCGATGCAAACAGCTGGGTGCCAGTGGCTCACGCCTGTAATCCCAGCTACCCAGGAGGCAGAGATCAGGAGGATCACAGTTTGAAGCCAGCTCTGAGCAAATACTTTAGACCTTATCTCAATAAAATCCACCATATAAAAAGGGCCGGTGGAGTGACTGAAGCAGTAAGAGTGCCTGCCTAGCAAGTGAGCCCCCCACCCAAAAAAAAAAAAAAAAAGATTCTAACTGGATGTACCACTGGAAGGCAACAGAAACCACGCTTACTCTCCCATACTAAATCGCCCTGAGCTGTGAAACCCAGAGAGGAAGACCTGTAGACAGGGTCTGTGGATGTGACATGCCCGCCCTCACTGCTCAAGCTGATTCAGCAGTGCCAGCTCCTCAGTGCCCCTCAGCCCCAAGACACACACTCACTCACTCCCCAGGGGAAGATCCCCATTTCTGAAATTTTGTAATTACGTGGTTCCCAAAATTAAAATTTCTAGATACGTAGCCAATGTGAGATGGATTTGGTGCTGTATGAAGTAACTGGTTGTGACTGGTGACACCATGTGCTTTGTTGTTCATCAGGAGAAACTCACAATGCAGCAAGGTACACAGATTTATTCCCATTTTACAGATGAGGGAACACACTCAGGGTCCGATCTACCCACCCGCCTCAGGCCTCAAGTCATGGCTCGGTGCAACTTGAACATAAGGTTTCTGACTCCAGTAGCTCAACATTCCCTGGTCACCTCCTCTCCTGGCAGAGTTGCTTCCCCAAACAGGTGTGCAAGGGTGTTTCAGGCTGCTCCTCACAACCAGAGCGAATCCATATTCCCCAGCCCACGACACGCCACTGACAGTTTGTTGTCAGGAGCATAAAAACCTAATGGACACTGGGTATGCAGGAAGGCAAGAGAGGCAAGGCTTTGTGTCAACTGCTCCTGTTCTGAATTCAGCATTCATTGGGACCTTAACTCAAAGCCTACTAGGGTGCTCAGGGCCCAGAACAAAGGAGACAGACAAGAATTCTTCCTTAGTGCAGCTCACATCCCACCACAAGCTGCCACAGAGACACTACAGGGTTGCATATGGCCCGCCAGTCTTTGTGTGTTCCATACGCTGCTTATTATTTTCTTTAATAAGCTGCCAACGCTTAGCTTCTCTGAAGTAGGCAGCCACACTCAGGACACACGCCCACCCACTCACCACAGTCTCTACCACTCCCTATTGTCTCACTCAGGACTTTTCTCACATTTGTTACCCATCTGACATCACTGTTGCTGAAATCCCTGAAGCAAGCAAACAAAACAGGTAAACAAGATCACCTCAGATAGTTATAACCCCAAATAAGCCAATGTGACTGGTGGAAAGGGCTACTTCAGATGGAGTGGTCAGGGAAGGGAACTTTCTGGAATGTACCAGAAACAAGCATGACAAGTCTGCCAACAGAAAGAAAAAAATGCTTCCATGCACAGGGACCAGCACAGGCACAAGACCTGATGGGGCCTGCAAACAGCAAGACTACAGTGGTTGGAGTGTGGTGAAGAAAGATCACAGAAGGAACAGGATCGCACAGCAACGTGCAAGCCATGGTGAGAGTTTTGGATTTGATTTCAAGAGCGAGGGGAAGCATGTGGAAGGGTTTTAACAAAGGAATGTGATCCATTTTATATTCCAAAGATCACGATGCTCTGTAGAAACGTGACTTCATGAGACCACACAGGAATGAAGTCCAGTGGGTGACAGTGACTAGGACCAGGATGGCAACAGAAGACAGAGGGGGGCAGCAGAGGCAGCACGTCACCAAAGGAATTTTCTGAGGCGTGGATGAAGGTAGTAATGAAAAGGAAGCCAGCCACAAGGTTGTGGCGTGTTTAACATTCTATAGCATTAGGGAATGACTGCAGGGCGCCCTAGTTTTAGTGCAAGAATGAGACTGATTTTGGATGAATCCCTTTTGCCTAGATCCTAGTCTCCCTGGATTCCTAGTTTCCCTTACCTCCCATTTCCCAACAGTCCTCAAATCCCCAAATCCAAGTGGCTAAAGACCCAATCCCTTATCAAGTTTATCCCTCAACCTCCTCATGCACATCACCTCCCTCCTGATTGTCTTCTCTCTAGCTTTGGCCTTTACAACAGTCTACCACAGCCGTGAATTAACAAAGAGCATTTCACAGACACACGTCTCTTTCTCTCCCACCAACCATCTTTGACAGCAGACCATGTTGCCCTGATTTGTATGTGTCACCGGTACTTCACTTCTCTGCTGCTCAGAGTAGGCACTTGAATGTGTCATGAATCAAAAAAAAGGTCTCCAACAGGAAATAAGTTCCCAAAAGAGGGAAACCCCATCTCGGGACCAAACTGTTCCTCGGAGAACCTGACCTGAGCCGCCAACATTTATGATCAAGTCACAGAAAACTTTGCCTTCCCAAGGGATGTGCTTCTTTCTACCTTGAGCGTCAAACCGTAGTTTGATGGCCACTTTTACTTGGCAAGTTTATGACACTGGACGGTATTGCTCACCTTTAACACTTTTCTTCCAAATGCAGGGACACAGCCTCCCCACATTTTTGCAAGGAAATCACAGAGAACATTACTATCCACTTTACCAGGAGGAAAACTGATGGGAGTTAGGAGTCTGGCCGGACAGTTCTGCAGGTGGCATGTTTCCAGTATCTCACCCTTGTGAGACAGCGGCCTCATTTCCCAGGTGCTACAGCTGAGTTTAGCCAAAAGGTCAAGAGGCGATCTCACCTGTGTTCCCTAGGTTTTACCTCTACATTTACTAACTTCTTCGGGTGGTCAGATGTCGCCACATAAAGATGACATTTTCTTTCTCTTCTCCGCCCCTCTCCTCGGTGGCGGGTGAAGACAGATTCTACACCATTGAGCCAGGACTAAGAAGTACCTTAGATTTCAGTCTGGAAGGAGTTAAAAACCATTCAGAAGAGAGAGCAAGAGAGAGCGAGAGCTCTAAGGAGACAAGAATAGCTTCAGTAGGGAAAAAGGGGGAAAGGGACAGACACCAAAAGAAAATCGGGACTCCGTTTGTGAGCTTCGCAGCCATGGGGCACCTGGGACAAGAAGGGGCAGCAATGGGGACAGGTTGCCAGACCCTTCCCATGCCAGTCATTTCTTCAGGGCCCCCAGGCTCTTCAGGGCCTCCTGGGCCTGGGTCAGTTGCTGCTGCAGCCTCTGCCGGGTGCTGTCACTGGAGGCCCGCTTGAGGAGGCCCTGCATCTCCTCCACCACTGCCCGGTGGCCAGGAGTGTTGTGGAAAAGCCGCACTGCCCGGTCCCCACAGGATGCCAGGAAGCGGCCAGTGATGTCAAAGGACAAGTCAGTGATACACTCCCCGTGGACCTGCTCAAAACACTCCTCCTTCTCACCCCGCCGGGTGTTGAAGAGATGAATACTGGTGCCACTGGCCAGGGCCAGGACATGGGTGTCAGGGGAGAGGGCCAGGCGACACGGCATGGTGCTTGCCTCTTCAAAGCGACCTGTCCTCAGCAAATAGGGGTCCTGCTGCTTCTTGTACTCCACGTCGGTGTCCCACAGTTTCCACGTGCCGTCCTTGGAGACGGAGACCATCCTGCAATATGGGAAAGCCAAGCTAGAGCCCCAGCACCCATGGCCAGGAGGGCACTAAGACAGTCAGGACTGCAGCCAAGCCAGATCGGCTTCCTCCTGAAGCTCAGGCACAGACAGGCACAAGGGTCCCAGTTGCCATGTGGGGCTGAGGAGAGCCACCAGGAAGCAACCAGGGCACACTCACTCACCTCCGGGAGTCGTTGGAGAAGGCAAAGGAGTGGACGCCTGCAGCATGGCCCTTCAGCTCAAAGGCTCGCACGACCTCCTGGAAGTCGCCCTTCTTCCCAAAGCAAACTTCCCACACCTTCACATCGGGGGTGAAGCCACACGAGGCCACAAACCTGTCACACAACCCAGGATCATTTAAAACTGAATTTTTTTTTTGGTGTGTGTGCGGTACTGGGGCTTGAACTCACGGCCTACACCTTGAACCACTCCACCAGCCCTTTTTTGTGATGGGTATTTTCGAGATAGGGTCTCTCGAACTATTTGCCCAGGCTGGCTTCAAACCGTGGATCATCCTGATCTCTGCCTCCTGAGTAGCTAGGATTATAGGCGTGAGCCACTGGTACAGAGCTAAAACTGAATTTTAAGGGTATCTTGTTCCTGCAAGCCCCTCACACCTCCTTCCTGAGGAAGAGGGGGTTTGTATTTATTAGAGCTAGGCAAGTGCTCTACCACCATGCCACATCCCCAGTTAATGAACCTTTTTTTTTCCTGGCTGGTAGTAAGGTTTGAACTCAGGGCCTCGTGCTTGCTAGGCAGGTGCTCTACTGCGCTTGAGCCACTCCACCAGCCTCTAATGTACCTTTTCAAAGTGCTTTGTAACTGTGACCTCAGTTCAACCTCACAGTCTGCTCTAAGGTATGCAGCCTCTTCCACCCCAGCCCTTAAAACCACAGATGACAACCAGGCACTGGTGGCTCCCACCTGTAATCTCAGCTACTCAGGAGGCAGAGATCAGGAGGATCAAGGTTCAAAGCCAGCTGGGCAAATAGTTTGAGAGACCCTATCTTGAAAATACCCAAGACACACAAAAAAGGGCTGGTGGAGTGACTCAAGGCTCTGAGTTCAAGCCTTAGTACTGAAAAAAAAACCTCAAACCACACGGATAACAAAAAGAAATGGAGGACTTGTAGCCAGGTGTCCTCAGGCCACTCTGGGAAGTGGCCTCTCTGCTCTGAGCCTGGTCCCAACTCTTCCCTGCCCTGACACCACAGCCCCTTCCCCCTCACCTGCTGCACGGGGATATGGCAGCGTGGGTGTTGTTCATCTGGTTGGTGTTGATGGTAGACAGCACTTGCCCTTTGAGATTCCAGATGAGGACCATCGTGTCACTGGAGGCCGTCATGATAAACTTTCCTGTGGTGGAGAGGAAGGAAGTGATGAGAGCCCAGAGCAATCACCTGACCAAATGTCACTGTCCACAGAGACAATTGGTGAGACCTCACTGCCCAAAGCATCCATGCACCCCTTCTGGACCACAGGTCACTGCAGATAAGGACTGTGCCCAAGAGGATGGCTCTTCAGGGCTCCTGGGAGAGCACAGAACCATGTTCTCTTGGCCACACCAAGGCTGAGCAGAATTCTCAGGCGGCATTTACTCATTCATCAAACAAAACTGGGACCACTCTCTCACACCCTGGGCAAGCTCCACTCTCTGCATGTTGCCCACCTGTGTCTGCGATAGCAATGTTGATGACAGGTGCCTTGTGTTTCTTCGGGAAGTCCTCTGCGGTGGCTGTGAAGGTAAAGCCACCATCTTCTCGCTTGGTCATCTTGAAGACACGGAGGGTGTCCCCATTGGCCAACCAAACAATGAAGGCTCTAGAAACAGGTGGCAGATGGGTCACTGCTTCATTTAGACACAGAGGCTAGTGTGTTCTATGTCCTATGCTGGGTTCTGATGAAAATCTCATGCCCTATGGTCTAGCCTCACAAGGTAACCTCTTAGTTTAAAATTTGCTGGGAGCTGGGCTCATGCCTATAATCCCAGCTACTCAGGAGGCAGAGATCAGGAGGACTGTGGTTCAAAGCCAGCCCACGCTATTAGTTTGTGAGACCCTATCTCGAAAAAAACCATCACAAAAAAAGGGCTGGTGGAGCAGCTCAAGGTGTAGGCCCTGAGTTCAAACCCCAGTACTGCAAAAAAAGAACAAAAAAACCCAAACTCTTGAAACTCTTCAATGAAGAGGACACACTGACAGCTTTTGCTCCTTTAGTTTCTAGGGCTTACAAAACCATGAGACCTTCCAAGGTTCATCCGGAAGCCAGGCTTTGGTACTTTCTGTGCAGTCGCTTAGTCCTTCAGGGAGCCCCAAGCTGTCCAAACCTCTCTCTGCCTCTCCCTCCCCCTCTCTATTTTTTGGTGGTACTAGGAATTGAACTCAGGGCCTCATGCTTGCTAGACAAGAGCTCCATTACCTGAGTCATGCCCTCAGCCATTTTGCTTTTAGCTTATTTTTCCAATAGGCTCTTGCACTTTTGTCCAGGCTGGCCTTGGACCGCTGGGATTATAGGTATGCATGCCTGGCATGGATGCTGTGTTTCTGCCACCCCAAGGAGATCCTGGGTCCCTCCCTCTTCACTATCCCACCCAGATATGGGAAGGAAGGCCAGAAGCTGGGGCAGAGGCTCCCTCCTGCCCCCACCTGCAGTCAGGGCTGAAGCGCACCAAGGTGGCGTGGTCCAGCTCCACGTTAGCTCTCATGCTGCGATGCTCCCGCTGCAGGAAGTCCTTAGTACTCCAGATGCGCACAGTACGATCATCAGCGCAGGTGATCAGATACTTGCCATTGCTGCTGAAGTCCATGCAGGATATGTTCCCGCTGTGGCTCTGGGGGAAGGGATGGAAGAAGGATGAGTGGGAATCCCTGGGGCAGATGGGGAAGCCAAACATGGAGCCGTTACCTTGGGGCCCTGTTGCTTGTATTAACAGCAACAGAGGCCGGGCACCACAGCTCACGCCTATAGTCCTAGCTACACAGGAGGCAGAGATCAGCCAGCCCAGGCAAATACTTCATGAGACACTATCTCGAGAAAACCCATCATGAAAAAGGGCTGGTGGGGTGGCTCAAGGGGTAGGCCCTGAGTTCAAACCTCAGTATGAGGGTGGCGGGGGAGAGGATGGGCTTGCCTGAGTAGGCCTAGGATGGGGTGTGCACACTGGCTTTGGTCAGAAGCAGAGGCATCGGTAGCACGCAGATTACTACCTGAGAAAAGGTCTGCAGGGCTGAGTTTGTGTACCGCACTGTGGGCGGTGTCCGTGGGTACCACGTACCTTCAGTGCTGCAGCCAGGAGGCGGTGGGTGAAGGTGTGCTGTTGAGGCTTCTCCTTGCGAATCCGCTGATGCTGTTTCTGCTTCTTGGATTCTGACTTCTTGGATGTATTTTCTTTTTGGCCTATAAGGAAGAGTCATGCTGTTCACCCATACACTCATGCATAAGCACTTACTGGCTACCTAGGATAGGAATGAGTGAAGTGACAAGAGATGAACCAGGTATGATCGATCCTTGTCCTTGAGAAGAGAGAGTAACTGTGTACATAAGCAAACCCAGAGGCTTTGTAATCAGATCTGGGTTTGGATTCTGTCCTGCATCCCTGAGGGATCAAGAAGAGGCTGTTGGTTACTAAGTCCAGAGAGCACCCCTATGCAAATTAGACAAGGCACCCTCGCTGGGGCAATGCCACTGGATAGGTGCACAGCACAGCCAGTGTGGTGTGGCTCCGTGGCCAGATGTCCCTAGGTGGGGGGGAGGTAATGATGCAAACCAAATTTGGTGGCCCAGGTCTTGGTTAAGTTAATTGCTCTGGGACTTGGTTTCCTTAAACAGAGGTTGAAAGAAGTGGATGAGATAATGTACACGTGATATGAAATATGCACAAAATGATATGAAATATGCACAAAATGATATGCCAAGGGTACCCAACACACACATCAAAGGCTCAAGGGAAGCTGACACCTGTAATCCCAGCACTTGGGAGGATGAGGCAAGAAGTTTGTGAGTTCCAAGCCAGCTGGGCTACCTAGAAAGACCCTGTCTCAAAACAAAACCAAACAAAGAAGGAAATGAAACGAAAAAATTCTAAAGCTCAAGGCAATCTCAGACAGAACCTAGAAAGTCAACACGTGTTGAGCGTCTACCCTGGGCTGGGCATAGTGCCGGTCACTTTTACATAAAATCTTGGAGAATCAGGCTAGGCACAAGGTTGACATGTGTGAGATGGTGGCATGTGTGAGATGGTGAGGGGGAACAGAGCTGTAATTACACATGTAATCCTAGCTACTCAGGAGGCAGAGATCAGGAGGATCCAGGTTCAAGGTCAGCCTGGGCAAACAGCTCACAAGACTCTATCTTGAAAAGAACCCCATCACAAAAAAGGGCAGGTGAGTGGCTCAAGGTATTAGCACCTCCTGAGCACTTCACACAAAGATGGCCACAATCTGGCCTCTGCTTTCCTGTCCAACCCTGTCTAACGAGCCTCTGGCGACCTTTGAGTCACAAATACCGTTTTCGCAACTCTTCGCCTTCGTAAATTTTGCTATTAGCAGGAATGTCTTTCTTGGCCTCCTGGCAAAATTGTTCCTACACTGTCATCCTTCAAAACCCCACACTGCAGGCTGGGGGTGTAGTTCGGTTGGCAGAGAGCTTGAGTGAGGCCCTGGGTTCCATCCCTAGCACCAAAAACAAAACAAAGCCAAAACCCCCCAAAAACACCATGAATTTCCTGCTCTGGGGGAAGATTTCCACAAAAACGGGTCTGACCATTGCCTTTCCTTTCTAATCTTGACCTCCACTATGAAATTCATCGCACTATTTTTCTTTCGCTCGCATTTTTGAGATGAATATTAACTCACATTTTTAAATGCGCTTCATCGTTTATTGGTCTCTACCATCGGGTAACAGGGACTCAGTAAACATCGCCGCAGGTCGCAGAATTGGTCAGAGTGTTTACAACTGAACGCAGCCCCCATTTTCTGAAATCACCAACATGTAGCAGGCTTTAGGTTTTATTTACAGCGTTCTTGTAGCAAAACCCCGGGGAGCAACGGGGGGGAGGGTGTTTCAGGTTCTAACCACCAGCCCGGCCAAGTGCCCCCCCACCTCCATTTCTGCAAAAGGGGGAGGGGGGCTCACTTCACAACAGGAGAAACTGAGGCCCAAGAATCCCCCGCCTCCGCAGCAGGCCCAAAGCGCAGGTCGCACCAGGCGGCGACAGTGAGCGAGGTCCCCGCGGGTCACCCCCCTCCCGTCCCAGTCCTACTTACGGACCGGCCGGCTGTTCCTCTCCTCCTCTGCACGCAGCCACCCCCGCGCAACCGCCGCGGTGGCCATCAGGGCTAGCAGCCCGACCAACAGGGACAGCCCCATCAGCTCTGGCATCTGCGGCAGCTCCATGTCTGCGCCGACGCCACTGCCAACTCAGCTTTGATTACGCCAGCGGACGTCCTCACGTCTCCGCATACGCGGGGACGACGCCGGGCCGTTGGAGGGCCTCGAGGGGCGGAGGCTGGCCGTTTGCGCGTCCTCAGGGGCGGGGCCTGGGTATTCGCGCGCCTGGTGGGGTGGGGCTTGGCCGTTGCGCTGATCTGAGGGGCGGGGCCTGGTGGTTGGCTCGACTCGAGGGGCGGGGCCTGGCCGTTTGCGCGTCCTGAGGGGCGGGGCTTGGCAGTTAAAATATTCTGAGAGGCGGGGTCTAGTCATTTTAAAGTCCTGAGGGGCGCGGCCTGGCCGTTTGAAAGTTTTGAGGGGCGCGGCCTGGCCGTTTGCGTATACTGAGGGGCGGGGCCCGGCCGTTTGAAAGTTCTGAGGGGCGGGGCCCGGCCGTTTGAAAGTTCTGAGGGGCGGGGCCTGGCCGTTTGCGTATACTGAGGGGCGGGGCCTGGCCGTTAGGGGGCGCTTGGCAATCTAGGCTAGGTCCTCCCCGAGGGTGGGGTAGCTGAGCTTCACAGGCTCTGTTGGCGCCTCCCTTTGAGTAACTTACGGCTGTTTATTAAAGGATTTATTACAGCATCGCCACACTGGATCCTTTCAAGGATGCACCGCCGGGGTTATTTCCATTTGGCCAGGGGCAAAGTCTTAGTATCAGGGAGAAATCAGATGGCTGTTCACTGTTGCTGGAGAAAGGGAAGGGAGTCCTGGCAGCAAAGACCTGATCAGCAGGGGTGTTGTCGCCGGGCAGAACGTGATAGAAATGACAGATAAGTCTGGAGGGACTTGCACGTTGGCTCCATTCAGCACACGTGTTCTCTTAGAAGATGGAGCAAAACCTTTGTCTCGGGGATTCAACTGTGTGCAAAGTCAAACACAGAAAGCAAGTTATTACAAGGATCAGAGAGGGAGTGAGGGAGGTGATGAGGGCCTGGACTTGGGGTGGCCTGAGGAGTGGGAAGGAAGTTGAAAAGGAGGCTTAATTTTTTTGTAATGCTGTACTGGGGATCAAACCCAGGGCTTCCCTCAAGCAAGCGCTCTACCACTGAGCTACAGCCCCAGCCCCTGAAAAGGAGATTTTGATAAAAGTTGCTTTAGATTTCCAGTACCAAAGTGCACTGTGGGCTTCCTCGCGCTGCAGCCCAGAAGTACCAGTCTGCGTTCCAGCCTCAAACATTTCCATCCAACTAGGAAGCAGCCTCTCCTTGCAGTCCAAGCCTTCTCCATGAGAAGGACCCTCTAAAGAGACCAACTGCTGCAAAAGCAGACAGACAGCCAGCCATTTCGGGTGAGGAACCAGATCCAGTCAGAGAGCAAGTGGAGCCGCCTCATTTCCTTCCCTTTTGCCCTTCACCAGGAACTGGCATTGACTCAGCTGTGGGCAGTGGGGTGGGATGGGTGGGGAAGGACCGTCCAGACCCTCCCTGAGCTTTTCCTGCCCAATTTGCTATTTAGAGCTATAGGCTCAGCCTACCCACCATCGTTATCCACCATGTAGAGAGAAAGCAGTACTTTTTTTTTTTTTTCTTTTTTGGTGGTCCTGGGGTTTGAACTTGGGGTCTTGAGCATACTAGGCAGGTGCTTTACTACTTGAACCATGGCCCCCAGCACCTTTGGTTTATTTTTCAGATCAGGTCTCAGACTGAGATCCTCCTACTTCTGCCTCCAGAGTAGCTAGGATTACAGGCATGAACTACCACACCCTGCCAAAGCAGTGCATTTAAGAAGCATTTCATTAAACACCAAGCATTTTACATGTGACATTTATTGATTAAGCAGCTTTTCATCTCGTTTATTCTTCCCACAGATAAGAGTGAAATTCTAGGAGGTTAAGTGGCTTTCTCAATGCCATATAAGTGGAGAGTGAACTGGTAAAAACGCAGGTCTGCCTGACTGCAATTTATGAAAGTGAGGCAGAGAAGCAAAAGTAACCCTCTTTGCACAGCTCGGGCTAGGCTACAAAATTCTTTCACATCCACCTGTAAGTCTACTTGACCTCTGTAATGGTCATTTAAGACATTATCAAATAATTATTTTTTGAGACAGAATCACGCTATGTGACCCAGGCTGGATTCAAACTTGTGATGCTTCTGCCTCAACCTCTCAAATGCTGGGATTACAGGCATGTACCACCAAGCCTGGTTCATAACTTCATTTTTGAACAGATGGGGAAAAAACTTGGGTCAAGTAACTTGCCCAAGTTCAATAAGAAAGCAAAGAAGAAACCCCACAGTCAAACCTGGTTCTGCTACACTCCAAGGTCCACTTTCCTCTCACCAAGCCCCTGGCTATGTACAGCCTTGCCCTTTGTGAGGGTAGCAAACATGAGTGGGAATACACAACAGAACTGGCTTTGGGAATGAAAAGAGATCAGATGACAAAAGTAACCCTGCCTTAGATGAAGGAGACAGGGAGGCATCCTTAAAAGCAAACATCTTCCAGGCACCAATCGTTCACCCCTGTAATCCCAGCTACTCAGAAGGTAGAAATTAGGAGGATTGAGGTGCGAAGCCAGTCAGGGCAAATAGTTCATAAGACCCTATCTCAAAAATAACCATCACAAAAAAGGGCTGGTGGAGTGGCTCAAGGTGTAGGCCCTGAGTTCAAGTTCCAGTACCACAAAAAATAAAAAGCAAGAATCTAAGGAGGCATCAGGAGCGGGCTTCTCACTCAGATAATAAAGAACAGTGGTCTTTCTCCTAGATAAGGGAGGGAGAGAAGCATCTATAAACAAACATCGAAAGAGGTGTGGGAAACTACGGGCTTCTCAGAGAAGAAACAAACCCCTTGCCAAAATAACAAGATGCAGCTACACAATGAGGGTAGAGGGCCCTAAGACTAAGACAAGTTGAACAAAGTTCCAAGGCCAGGGGCGAGCTGACCACATCCTTCTAGAATGTCCAGTTCCATAAGGAGAGGGACAGACAGGTGGTCAGATTTAATGAGAAGTTGACTAGGCACTGACCATCACAAATATAATTTCAAGGTAGAATAGTTGGACCTAAGTCAGTTAGAACCCTATATCACCTCCTAGACTTCAGCCTTTCTTTGGCTTAGCCCCTTCACTAAGTCCCACCCGTCAGGGTGCTTTGCTATCCTTTCAATAAACTTTGTGCTTGCTTTAACTCTTAACTCCTGGTCTGGCGTCTTCAATTATCAACTATACCAGGACACGAACTCGGGAAGAACAATCCAGTATTGCCCTCATAAGCTTATAGTTCAGGTAGAAGCCAAGACCAGCACATGGCAAGCCCAAGACTGACACAAAGCCGGATTTGTAAGAGCTGGGTGGATCAGGGATGGGAGTTGAGGATAGTGAGTCTTGGCTATAACTTCAGGGGTGGGCATTTGGTCGTTTCTTTTTTTTTTTCTTTGTGGTACTGGGGTTTGAACTCAGGGCCTCATGCTTGCTAGGCCAGGTGAGGAGTGGGCATTCGGACAGGCAGAGTGTAGGAGGGATTTCTTGGTGGGAGAAGCAAAGCACAAAAGGATGTACAGACAGAAAGGATTAATTCCTATGCAGATCAGAGTGCCAGCCTTTGCCAGCCTGCTTCTTGAGTATGACAAGTTGCACCAAAGGAGAAGATACGAAAGGAGGCAGGAAAATGTAAGCCTGCCTTTCTCACTTGTGGGTTGATAATACTTGAAAGAAAAGTAGAATGGTGCATCCTGACATCTACAGGAGAGTCAGGATTTCTTGGATTGCAAAGTGGGGAGCAGTAAGAGGAGTAGCAGGGCCTAATCACAAAACACCAGGCTCAGAAGCTGGCTTTAGCTGACGCAAGAGCCAAAAAAGCAACGGAAGAGCCAGGCATGGTGGCTTATGCCTGTAACCCAACTTCTTGGAGGGCTGACATAGGAGAATCAAGGTTCCAGGCCAACCGAGGCAAGAACTTAGTGAGACCCTGTCTCAAAAAATAACAACAGGGTTGGGGGGCATAGCTGAAGTGGTAGAACACTTGCCTAGCAAGTTCAAGGCCCTGCCTTCCATAAAACAAAAAGAGCACACGGGGCTCGACTTACTTTGATGCCCTCCCTACCTCTGGCATCTCTACATTAGATGAGCCAACCATCTTCCTCATTGTTTAAGTGGTCCTCAAAGTGTGGTTCCTGGACCAGTAGCATTAACAACTTACATTCTGAAGCCCTGCCCCAGGGCTGGTGGAGTGGCTCAAGTGGTAGAGTCCCTGTCTAGCAAGTGTGAAGGCCGTGAGTTCAAGCCCCAGTACTGCAAAAAAATAAATAAAGCTAAAGTGTAAAGGGAAAAGAGAGTGAGCTAGTATAGACACTCAAGGGAAGAAGAATCTGGAAGGGAACTCAGGGTAAAGAGAATTTTGGGCTGCTTCTTTTTTTTTCTTTTTTGGTGGTACTGGGGTTTGAACTGAAGGCCTTGCATTTGCTAGACAGGTGCTCTACCACTTGAGCCACCCTCCCAGCCCTTGCTTCTTGCTTGTTGAGACAGGGCCTGGATGGGTAGCTCAGGCAGCCTTGAACTCTCAAAATTCTCCTGCCTCAGCCTCCCTAGTACTGAGATTATAGGCATGCACCACCACACTGGACAAGTTTTATGGGGAACTTTCTGGCAGGGGTGAGTGGACAAAAACAGAGCAGCATTCAAACCACCAGCATGTTCCCTTTCACAGAGCCACGTGAAGCCTCTCTGCAGGAGCACACCTGCCTCCCCCCAGCAGAGAAGAGGCTAAAAGCTGAGACAGGAGGCAGGCAGTCTTTGGTGCACCTCTGAGCCACTTACCATGCCCCTGACGACATGTTATTTGACAGATTTGTGCCTCTATTTTTCATCTGCAGAATGAGAATAATGACACATAGTGACTCACTAGGTCTAAGTACCTTATACACACTTACTCTTTCTTTCTTTCAGAGGCAGAGTCTCAGCTGGGCATGCTGGCACACACATGTAATCCCAGCTACTCTGGAAGTTTATGCAGGAGGGTTGGTTGCAAGTTGGAGACCAGTGTGGGCTACACAGTAAGACCTTGTCTCAGAATCAAAAGTGGGTGTGGCTCAGTGATAGAGCACTTACCTAGCATGTGTGAGGCCCTGGGTTCCATCCCCAGTGTTGCAGAGAGAAAGAGAGAGACAGACAGATAGAGGGGAGATGGGGTCTTGCAGTATGCCCAGACTGTCCTTGAACTCCTGGGCTCAAGTGATCCTCCTGTGTCGGCATCCTGAGTGGCTGGGGCTATATGGGTCACCACTATGCCTGGTTTATATTTATTCTTAAATCCTTGCAATAGGCTGATGAGGCAGGTGTTGTGAGGAGTAAATGAGTTAATGTAGTGGGTGTGGTGGCACATGACTGTAATTCAGCACTTGGGAGGCTGAGGCAGGAAGATTACAAGCTCAAGTCCAGCTTGGGCTACATAGTGAGCTTGGGGCCAGCCCGAGATACATAGTGAAATCCCATTTCAAAAACATGATCAGACAAAAATTTTTCATCTAGTCTTGTCCCATCTCCACCCAAAACCTTCCAGCACTTTCCATCCATCTCAAAGTAAAAGCAAAGATGATTTTGTGTCCTGCAGAGCCTTGTACAAAGCCACTTTCCACAATCACACAGCAGCACACAGTTTTTACTTTTATTGGTCAAGAATTCTTTACAAAATTCACGCACACACATCCACACACACACAAGATGCCTGTCCTGGTCTTTCCAGGTGGCAGACCTCCCTGGGCTCACCCGGGGAAGCCACCATGCAGCCTTCACAGCACAGCACAGGAATGGACAGCACGGACCTCCTTCTCTGCCCCCAGGCAGAAGGGACAGGGAAAAAGGCTCATCTTCTTCCCTTTTCTGAGTTCCCTGAGTGTCCTGCTTACGTCTACAGTGACACAGCAACTGAAGGCCTTGGGTCCTCTGTTGCTGGAGCCTCCTCCCCTGCTCCCATTTTGCTGACTGGGAAATGGAGGTCAAAAGATGGGGTACACGTTGCCCAGCGTCACAGTGTTAGTGGCAGAGCAGGGACGGGAGTGTGGCTCTTTAACCCTTTGTAAAGGGACAGAAAGGAAGTGCCCAGAAGACATCCATGAACCTTGGGAGGGTCTGCCAGGACTATAACGGTCGGGGTCTGCCCAGGGTGCCCTCGGTGACTGCCCGTGTGGCTTGCTCAGGCATGCGGCTTGGGTCGGTCAGGATGCTGGTGCAGGCACTCAGCTGGCGGAGGGAGTTCAAGACAGCTGGAGAGAGAGAGAGAGAGCGAGAGAGAGAGAACCTCTCTGAGGTCAAGGCTAACGTCAAAGGCTTGGGAGGAAACACAGTAGTTGGTCAGCCCCTCCAGGACCTCAGTTGGCAGGCGTTCTCTGCAGGACCATCCGGGGGGCATGGGGAGTGACCCCAAACCCCAGGCTGTGTTGAAAGCAAAGCTGGACCTGGGGGCCAAGCAGGGTTGCCACTGCAATGGACAGGCAGCTGGCTCACGTACTTGGCCGGAGAGCAGGCAGGGAGCAGTACTGGTCCAGCCAGGCCAGTGAGGTCTGGCGGAGGCTGTGCAAGCTTGCAGTGGACACCATTCCATTGAAGGACTCAAACAAAGGCCGGATAAGGATGCTGAACTGGGCAGGGGTCAAGGAGCAGACCTGTGGTCCACACTGTACCCTACCACCTCACATAGAGCCTTGACGCCTGGCACAAACCAGGGGAAGGAAGGGCCTGCCACTGCCTAACCTTGAGCCCTAAGAACTCCAGCTACACCTCCACCTGTCCCGCCAAGAGCTGTTCAAATCTCTAGTCTGAAGCCCCTTCCTTTTGGTTCCTCTGCAGCCCTTATTCTATGCTAGATGGCCTCCCTCCCTGGAGTCCTTGCACTGGTTCAGTTAAAAGCTTGACCTTGAGCTGGGTGTGGTGGTGCATTGCTGCAATCCCAGCTATGTGGGAGGCAGAGGTAGGAAGAGCACAGTCCAAGGCCAGTGTGGGCAAAAGCCTTTGAGACTCTATCTCAAAAGCAAACTAAAAGGAAAGGGACTGAAGGCATGGCTCAAGTAGTAGAGTGCTTGCCCAGAAAGTACAAGACCCTGAGTTCAAACACTAGTACCAGCCAACTAAACAAGAGCTTGACACCACAGTCAGGTAAGAAAGTGGACTCCACGTTTTTTTATTTTTATTTTTTTGGTGGGACTAGGTTTTGAACTTAGGGCCTAGGCACTTGGAAAGCAGGCACTCTACCACTTCAGCAAAGCCTCTCAGTCCATTTTGCTGTGGTTATTTTGGAGAGGGGAATCTCACAAACTATTTGCCCAGGTTGGCCTTGCGAACTATGATCCTCCCAATCTCAGCCTCCCAAGCGGCTAGGATTACAGGCGAGGCTATTGTGCCCGGCTTCCATGCTTTATTTAGACTCATACCACTCAGCATTCAGCTTCTTCCAAGCCTCCCGATAGCAGGGCTATCTTGCCCCAGGGCTATCTTGCTCCCCTTGCTCCCCTTGCCCCAGGCCCTTCCCCCAGTCCCTCTTTGTTTCCAGCCCATCTCTAGGCAATCCTGTTGGCCTAGAGCCTGGTAGCAGGCAGCAGACTAGAGTCTCTCCCTGGGTCAGTGGAGCTAAGCCTACAGCTTCAGGCATAGCTTGATCTAGCTGCAGCGCTCACCACCCACTGCCCACCTCCACGGCCCCAGGCCACTGACCCGAGCAAGGATACTACCCAGAACTTCCAATTGTGCAGTGTGCGGGTCCGGACGTAGTCATCAAACATGTCTCGCATCTGGTCAAAGCGCTGATGTGTGATGGGCACGCCTGTGGCTGGCAGTTGCTGCTGGCACCGGCTGGGGGACAGCAGGTCAGGGCTGGGGAGTCTGAGGACCGCAGGCTCCCCTTGCCCCTGCCCCTGCCTGCCCCTTCCTACTTTTTTTCTTTTTCCCGCAGTACTGGGGTTTGAACTCAGGGTCTTCACCTTGAGCCACTCTACCAGCCCTTTTTTTTTTTTTTGTGATAGGGTTTTTTAAGATAGGGTCTCATGAACTATTTGCTCAGGCTGGCTTCGAAACTCCATCCTCCTGATCTCTGGCTCCTGAGTAGCCGGGATTACAGGCGTGAGCCACAGCACCCAGCTGCCCCTTCCTACTTGATGGCAGCATTGAGCTCCTCTATCTCGTCCCGCAGCTGCTGGGCTTCCTCCTGCATGGCTGCCCGTTCCTGCTGCAGCATTACGATGTATTCTGCCGTCTTCTGCAGCGTGGTGGCCTTGCTCACCTGTGGGTGCCACCAGTGTGGGCCTAAGTGCCAAAAGGCCCTGGCATCTGGTCTTGGGGGGAGGTCCAGGAAGGGGCTCTGGGGGTGCAGCCTGGGCTGGGGGCTCACCTTGAGACTGGGCTGGGCGCTGAGTGTGCTCACAAGCCCATGGAGGGTGTCAAATCCCAACTTGATGTTGAAACGCCTCTTCTGCTCGGCTGAGATGTGTGTGATGCGCCGATTCTCGGTCTTGGGGAGCGGCAGAAGGTGGAGTGAGCTAGGACGGAGCCCGGGAGGGTCTAGGGGATGCAAACTGGTTTTGGGGTGGGTGATGGTGCCCACCTTGTTGTTGTCCTGACGGCCCCGGCTTAGGGTGCTCAGTGCCCCGGGGCTTGGGATGGAGTTGACATCCCCTGACGGCCGCTGCTCACTGCCTGTGGCAGGGACAGACAGACCCACAGACAGACCAACACACAGAAGAGAGGGTCCCATTGCCCTGACCCTCTTATCCTGGCCCCAGACACCGTCCCCCTTCTTCCTTCTCCTCCCTCCATCTCCTGTAACCCCTTTTTACCGCTGGGTGCTGGCGGTGAGAGGCGTTCAGCTTTGGGAACAACCAAGGGCCTGGGAGGAGCCAGAGTGACCGGGCTGGGGGGAGGTGGCCCAGGTGGTGCAGGGGCCGGAGTTGGGGAAAAGAAGGCACGAGAGAATTCAGGGACTGTCTCCTGCTAGAGTGGAGAATGGCAGAGAGTTGGGGTGAAGGCCCTGGGCTCAGCCCCAACCTCCCAGGGCCCAACGTCTTACCGGAGACCCTGGGGACCGGAGGAGGGCGCTGGGCACATGCAGTGGGTCCAAAGCTTGCTCAGGCTTGCCTGTGCACAGGCAGGACTGTGAGGCTGCTGGGCTGGTCCAACCTCATCATTGCTCAAGACCCCCTCCCGCCTCCCCCAAGCCCATCCTCACCCTCTGTTCCCATGGCTCCCCTTCCAGGGCTGGTCCTCACCCTCTCTGTCTCACCTGATCTGAGCAGCTGTGTGAGGCAGGGGTTGCTGGGACTGGTGGTGGCAGGGGCCAAGGTAGGGGGACTGGCTTTCCGTCCCCTAGGACATGGGGTGGGCAGTTTGCCTCTGGGGTGTATACCCTGAGACACTGCGAAGTGAGGCCCAAAGGCTGGCTCCGGGTACCCCGAAGGCAGAGGGTCTATGGGGAAGGGGGTGAAGGCAGTGGGGGCAGGACCTGGGGCAGGCTGTAGGGTGGGAGAGAAGGCTGCTGGAGCTGCCAGCGGGGACACTTCTGGGGCAGGCGGGACTGTGGGGAAGGGAAACCTGGCAGAGAAGAGAGGCTCTTCTGGCACCAAAGCTGGGGGTGGAGCCATGGGAGGGAAGGAGGATGGCGTGCAGGGTTCTGGCAGCCCTTTAGTTGGGGTAGGGTATGGGAGGAGGGGCAGGGGTGGAGGAGGGGGTGGAAGTTTGAGCTTGGAGCCTTCAGGAAGGAGGAAATCAGAGCTCAGGAAGGCACTGGAGTCCATGGGGCCAGGACAGTTGCTTCGAGCCTAGTAGGGGAGACAGAGGGGAGGGGGCTGCTCTCTTGCTGCCACCCAGGCAGCTTCCTGCCCTGGCCCAGCTCTGCACTGGGCCCTGGGGAGAGATAAGAGAAACAGTTCCTACCTTCCAGGGTGTGCACATGCGCACATGGGGGAAATTGTAGTCTAAGGAGCAGAGAGAGTGGAATCCCTTTATGTACGAACTAGGCGTGATGAACTGCATCAATCTTTCTGTCTATCCATCCATTTGTCCATCCATCTACTAACTAATTCACTCTTCATGCATCTGCTAACCCTCCTCCAGTGTATCTGTCCATTCACCCATTCTTCATTTATTCATCCACTAACTCATCTACCAGTCCATCCAACCACCCACCCACCCATCCATCTATCATCTATCTGTCCATCCGCTAACCATCCACCTACCCATCCATCCATCCATCCATCCACCCACTCACCTATCCACCCATCCATCCATCCATCCACCCACCCACCTATCCATCCACCCATCCATCCACCCATTCACCACCTATCCACCCATCCATCCATCCACCCACCCACCTATCCATCCACCCACCCATCCATCCACCCACCCATCCATCCACCCATCCATCCACCCATTCACCACCTATCCATCCACCCATCCATCCACCCATTCACCACCTATCCACCCATCCATCCATCCACCCACCCACCTATCCATCCACCATCATCCACCCCACCTATCCATCCACCCATTCACCACCTATCCATCCACCCATCCATCCACCCACCCACCTATCCATCCACCCATCCATCCACCCACCCACCTATCCATCCACCCATTCACCACCTATCCATCCACCCATCCATCCACCCATTCACCACCTATCCACCCATCCACCCATCCACCCACCCACCTATCCACCCATCCACCCATCCACCCACCCACCTATCCACCCATCCATCCATCCATCCACCCACTCACCTATCCACCCATCCATCCACCCACCCACCTATCCATCCACCCATCCATCCACCCATTCACCACCTATCCATCCACCCATCCATCCACCCATTCACCACCTATACACCCATCTATCCATCCACCCACCCACCTATCCATCCACCCACCCATCCACCCACCCACCTATCCACCCATCCATCCATCCATCCACCCACTCACCTATCCACCCATCCATCCACCCACCCACCTATCCATCCACCCATCCATCCACCCATTCACTACCTATCCACCCATCCACCCATCCACCTATCCATCCACCCATCCACCCACCCACCTATCCATCCACCCATCCATCCACTAACTCAGCCACCAATCTATCTGTTCATTCATCATTCATCCATTCATCCATCTTCTATCCATTCACCAATTCTCTAATCTCTACTTATCTCAACACCAGCCTAGCTGCTTCCTGGCCACCATGATGCTAGCTTCTGTGCCACATCCTCCCATCACAATGAACTGAAACCTCTGAAACTGTGAGCCAGAATAAATCTTTCTTTCCTTAAACTGTTTTTCTCATGATTTATTACAGCAACAGAAAGTCTGATTAACTCACCAGCCTACCGGGTAGTAAGCCATTCTTCAATCGGTCCAGTCATTTATACTTCCTTTATTCACTCATCAGCCCATCCATCCAATCCATCCACCCATCCATCCATCCATCCATCCATCCATCCACCTATTCATTCATTCATCCACCTGTTCATCCATCCATTCAATCATCCATCCACCCACCCACTTATCTATCCATCCATCCTCCAACCATCCACCTATCCATCCATCCATCCATCCATCCATCCATCTATCCATCCATCATCTGTACATTCACCAGTCACTTGTCAACTCACCAGCTCATTCATCAGTCCCTCAAACTATCCACAGACGCATCCACCAGCCCACTCATCCTCCTGGCACCTTCCTTGGTTGGCCAAACTTGATGCTAGGCTGTTAGGATGTGCCTGGGTACCTCTTGGGCACAAGAGGCCAGAGCCAGCTCTCAGGTGACCCGAGCAGGCTGGGTGAGTTCACCTGCTGGCGGTTAAGTCCTGAGAGGTGGCTCATGCCAGAGGAGGTGGGAGATGTCACTTCTGGACCAAGGATTCCACTGCCAAAGAGGGAGTCAGCCATGGGGCCGAAGCTGGGTGGCTCTGGGAAGTTTGAAGACGTAGGCATCTGTGGGGGGCGATAGTTGCTGAAGAAATCTGTAATTGAGACACAGGGGACAGCAGTGAGAGCTCGGGCTGGGCCTTGGGCTCTGTCCCCAGACTGGGTGGGGGTGGGATGGGGGCCGGCAGGGGAGAGGTGGCTTCTGCCAGGAGATTGTGAAATTGAGATTTTTCTGTCTTGTTCAGGGAAGCAGCAGCAGAGGCTGGGGTGTGGGACCTGAGGGGAGACAGCAGGGACCCCAGGAAGTATCCCACCCTTTGAGCCCCACACTTGGCTCATGGGGGCCCCTTTCTTCCTGGTCCCTTTATCTTCTCCCTCTACCAACTCTGCTGGTGGTCTACAAAAGGGGGATCACAGAAAACACCTCAGGGTTGGTGGAGTGGCTCATGTGGTAGAGCGCCTGCCTTGCAAGTGTGAGGTTCTGAGTTCAAGTCTCAGTACCAGGGGAAAAAAGTGCTTGAGAGGAGCTGGGAGGAAAAAGGGTGGGGATGCTAGGAGGCACTCCCAGTGTGGCAGGAGTTCAAGGGTGAGTCAGGGGTGATGAGGGTGAGGAGGTCAGTAGGTCTGTGGTGTGTTGGAAGGCTAATAGGTGGGGCTATAAGAGCAGAGCTAGGAGGGGGGTGGAGGGCCAATGGGGTGACAATCCATGGCCAAAAGGTGGGCTCAGAGTTCGGGCAGGAGTGAGAGGGGCTGGGGAGCCTGAAAAGCTGGGGGGAGCACAGGGCTGCCAGATTGGGGTGCGGGTTGTGTAAGCCCTGGGCTATTCTGGTTTTGGGAAGCAGCTGCCTGGGGCCTAACCACATCCCGGGCCTGGGCGCCGCCTGGCCACCCGCTCCCTTCCGGGCACCTTTCTCTGACCCTGATCAGCCTGCGATCTGTGCCAACTCCCAAGGCCTCCTGGGCTGGGCAAACCCAGCTCCACTGTGGCAGCTCCCCTCAGGCCTGGGGTGGGCCCAGCCCCCCATTCTTTCCTCCACAGGTGCCCCTGCTAGGACAGCTGGGCAGGCCACTCCACACAGTGCCCTCTTGGGAGATAAGGGTAGAGAAGGTGCCAGCATCAGTTACAAGGTGGCTTCTTGCTGTCCTGAGGCTTCTCCTTTAATAAAAAGGCCAAGGGAGCAGGTGGTGGTCACTGATCCTCCTGTGTCCCTGTGTCGCTCAGGGACCACAGACTCAATCACTTGAGGCCTGGGGTCTTTTATTATTTTTTTAAATTGTTGTTGGTGGCACTGGGTTTTGAACTCAGGGCTTCACGGTGCCTAGGTTTACTAGGCAGGTGCTCTACCACTTGAGCCACTCCATCAGCCCGAGACCTGGGTTTTAGAACCAGCCAAATCTGCCTCCATCTCCCTACTCTGCTGCTGGCACCCCGAAGGCTCAGGCAGGGGTCTGGAGTGACAAGCCCCTCTGATCCCTGAGTCACCAGCCATTCCTTTACCACGAACCGCCCACACTTTCCCCACCTTGCCTCAAGAAAAGCTGGTTCCAGATTCCGGTGTCCCACTGAATCCCAGTCCCTCCCTGGCCTCTGGTCTCTCTGGAGTCCCTGTCCCTCTGGCTGTCTCCCTACACCTGCCCTAAACCAGCTCCCCACCTCCATGATGTTCTGACCCCTCTTTAGGGAGAGGTTTTTGGGGACAGTCAGAGTGGAAGTCCTGGTGGCCCATTGTATGGAGCACACGAGAAGGGCACATTTGCCACCTTCTCTGCCAGACACACGCTTGCCCCTATCCAGTCCCCACCCTGGATTAAAAGACCACCACCCAGCCCCAGTTTGAGTTTTGGCCAGAGCGCGGATGGGCGCAACCGGGCTCCTACCTGTGGTGGGGTTTAGTGTGCCCTGGTGGGGCCGCTGCCCTCCTGGGCTGGTCTGCTCCCAGGGCATTGCCATCAGTACTTCTGCCCCTGCAGCCCCCACCCGCCCAGGGCTGGGGGTGGTTCCTCATTCCCTAGTCCCCGCCCCATAGGCCTCCATCTCTTGATTGACAGGCCCAGGACCCTATGGAGAAGAAGCTGGGGGTGTCACTGTAACTAAGCCTCTCCTTTCTGTGCTCTGGGCCATGCCAACAGGCTGAGTCCTGATGCCCACTGGCACCCAGCATGGCTCGGACCTCCTAAATGCATACATATGGGAGCAGCCTGCAAGATCTGGGATTCAGTGATGGAAGGCAACATGGGGGAAGGGGCCGTGTGAAAATGAAAAGAGACATTTGTCCAGGAGGAGTCCAGGACATGGGGGTCCCCGGAGGACACTAGGAAACCAGTAACTTGGTAGCCTTGGATCAGGAGAGAGGGAAAATTACGACTATCCAAAATTCTCTACAAGAGCCAATGCCTGGGATTCTCTTAAAAATGGTGAGGGGGTGGGCGCTGGTGGTACAAGTCTGTAATCCTAGCTACATGGGAGGCTGAGATCAGGAGGATCGTGGTTCAAAGCCAGCCCGGGCAAAAAAAAGTTGGGGAGACCTTATCTCAATGGAAAAAAGCTGGGCGTGATGGTGGGCGCCTGCCATCCCAGTGACAAACAGGAAGTGTAAAATAGAAGGACTGAGGTCCAGACTGAACTGGGCAAAATATGATACCCTATCTCTAAAATAACCAACCAGAGCAAAAAGGGCTGGAGGCACGGCTCAAGCAGTAGAGTTTGAGCCTACTATGCACAAAGCCCTGAGTTCAAACCCCAGTACTGCCCCCAGCCTCCAAAATAAAAAGGAGGAAGGGTGCCGCCATCTAGATGAACCTCTGGCCAGAAATGTTAAGTCAGTGACATGAAGTTTATCAATCTTTATCAATCTACTCACTCTCTATACAGGGATGAACCACCACACGTGGCTAACACATAGTTTTAAAAATGCATATGGATAGGGCATAGTGGCTCACGCCTGTAATCTCAGCTACTCGGGAGGTGGAGATAGGAAGAAGGTCTGAGGCTGGCTCCAGACAAAAGTGTAAGACCCTATTTAAAAAACAAAGTAAAAGCAAAAAGGGCTGGGCTCAAGTGGGAGAGCACTTGTCTAGCAAGTGAGAGGCCCTAAATTCAATTCTCAGTACCTCAAAAGAATGGAATCCCAGCATTCACAGCTTTCCTGGAAGCACTTGGTACTTGAACCCTAAAAGTTCCCTGGTCTTGTATCTGTCCCTTTGCCCCATGGGAGGCCACCTGACTGCATTCAAAGCTGGACAAAGGTGGACCAAAGTGATCCAGACCATCCACTCTCCCAGTGGAGCCTGGCACTGGTCTGAGTTTCTTTGTCACTCAGACTTTCCTCCAACTGACTCTGCCTGTGTTCCCTTCTCTGACCCCGGGAAGGGACTGCGTCACCTGAAATCTCCATGAAATCATCCAAGCTGGGCTGCAGGGGCGTCAGGTCTGGCTGGATCATGTCTGCATTACCGACATAGGCTGGGGAGGCAATGGTGACATCAGGAGCTGCCCAGATTGTCACAGACCTAAATCTTCCTCCCCTGCCTCCTTCCCGGATGCAGGCCCTCACCATCCTCAGGGGGCAGCTGCAGAGGGGGGGGGCCAGGCTGTGTCATGGTGAAGAGGGTGTCAGAGATATCGGACAAAAAGGAATCCAAGTCCAGGAGCTGCCGCCCACTGGGCTCCTCCTCGGGGCCCCCCAGCAGCACGGGCACCACACTGGAGAAAAGCTGCTCGCACCATCGCTCTGGTGGCGGCCACCCCTCTTCGGCCTAGTGAGACAGAGCGGTCACTGCCCTAGTCCTACCACATCAACCCCTGCCTGGGGATGAAGTGCCCCTACCACCGCCCGGCCAAGTGCCCCCCCACTTCACCTTTCCCTCTTCACCTTTCCCTGGTGGACCTGGTTTGCTGCCTGGAAGGCCTTGGTCACCCCATTGGCCTCTAACAACTTCCCCTAGGTGGTGGATCAAAATGACTACCACCCTTATAAGGGTCCCTTTTTCCTGCTGGGGACACTTCTCCAATACGGCCCCATCTCCCTATGCCTCCTATCACCCACCTGCTCAGTGGCCTGGGGTCCCCCACGGGGAGAAGACTCAACTAATTCGCCCAGAGGGTGGAGGCCCCTCCCATGCCCCTGGCATCCCACCCTCGGCCTCAGACGCTGCCCTGGCCAGCCGGGTGTCAATTCTGCTAGTCCCCTTGCCTGCTGGACTTCACGAGCACCCACCTGCTTGGGGGCCAGGAGATCTCCTTCCCTGCTGGATTTACGGAGCTGTGGAGACACAGAGTTAGACATTGAACCCCTTGCTCCCTCCCCATCAGCCCCCAATTCCATAGGACCCCTCATTTGGTCCCAGCCCCGCCGGCCCTGGGAGGTGAGCAGGTTGCGATGAGATACTGTGGCCACACGGTGGCGCTGTCGGCTTGGGACTTAACGGAGGGTCCGAGGGGGCGGACTGGGATGGGGTCCCAGGGATTCACTCCAGGGCTCTTCTGGTGGCCCGGCAACCTCAGGGGAAAACTCTGGGGACCCCGTGAGCTCCTACTGACCCGCTTCTTGTAGTAGATTCGCCACTTGTGATATTCACGCATCACCACCTCGATACGCCGCTTCCAGTAATTCCCCTCCAGGACGACAGCCTGGGGAGGAGGGGCGATAGGGATCAGTGGGGAGTGTGGCACCAGAACCCTGTCCCTCACATCCCACCCCTCACCCAATGCAGCCCCTCCCACCCAGCTTGCTCCGTGAGTATCCAGGGCGGTGGGGACCGCACCCCCAGTTACCTCTGGTTTCCTGTGCTCATCAGCCTCAGGCCCCTGCAGGGGGGTCACGAAGCCACACACGGGGCTCTTCCTCCGCTCCACATCTGAGAGAAGGGGGCCAGGTTAGCGGTACCTAGATCCCTCATTCTCCTTTTCCTTTTTAAATACAGACCCTCATTATGTAGCCCAGGCTGGCCTTGAACTTGAGATTCTACTGCCTCTGCCTCCCAAATGCTGGAATTACAAGCGTGAACCACCACACCATCTCCACCTGGCTTTTGGTACTCAGATTTAAATACAGCTACTTCCTCCAGGAAGCCTTCCTGCCTGCTCTGACCTTCCCCATCATCCTCTCCTATACCCTGCACCTCCTTTGGGAGCCCAGCAGGTGTGCAGGAAGGGCTTGCTGTATGGATTTTGGGGCCAGAGGGTCTCAGCTTGGGTCCCTTGCTTCAGGCTCCTTGGCATTCCTACTTCCACCCCAGAGGTCCAGCCCTGGTCCACTTCCCACCTGTCACCTGCTTGAGCTCTTGTGCTGCTCCCTCCATGCCTTTCTTGGCTCCAATCCTGACCGCTCATGAGGCTTCTTTGTTTTGGTCCTTAAATCAGAATTGAAGCCTTTTTTTGTTTGTTTTTTGTGCAGTACTAGTGATCGAACCCAGGGCTTTGTGTTTGCTAAGCAAGCTCTACCACTGAGCTACATCCTCGCCTTTTTTTTTTTTTTTTTTAACTTTTGAGAAAGGGTCCTGTTAAGTTGCCCAGGCTGGCCTCAAACTTGTGATCCTCCTGCCTCAGCCTCCCAAGTACATGGAATTACAATTCCAGGCTCTATCTAACCTCCCAAGCCCCTTTCCCTTCCCTGTTCTCTGAGCCCCTTCACTTTGTCCCCAAACAGGAATTGTCACTTGGCCTCCACCTCCACACTTACTTTGCCTCCTGAAACTCAGCTTCTGCCCCTTTACCTACTCCGTCCTTCCAGACCCCAGAGCACAGTGTCCACCTCCTGAAGTCCCAGGATCTCTCTCCCCGTTCTTCTGCTGCCTGACCTCTTTGCACTGACTCGCAACCACTCCGGTGCTGTCCTGTTCCAGCTCCAGCCCATATCCCAGGTGCCCACCAAAAAATTCCCACCAACTACCAGTACTCCCTGTCTAATCCATGTCTCAGTTCCATCTGACCTGTTACATCCTCCCTAATCCCCTCTCTTAGTCACCTCCTAATCTGCAGTCTTACTTGGGCATCTAGGAGTCAGGTCTCACACCCAGCAGCCCACCTCCCTGCTGCAGGTCTAACCCCCCCATGGCTTCCCTATAGCCTCCAGGATAAGGACCCAACTCCTCAGCTGAATTCCAAGCTCCTGTGTGACCCGGCCACCCCTGCTTCTCCCACCTTCCTGTCTCGTTCACATACCCTACCCTGAAGCCACCCAGTCCACCTCTGGTCTCTCTCTCTTTTTTTTTTTGGCAGCACTGGGGTTTGAACTCAGGGCCTCACACTTGCTAGGCAGTTACTCTTACCACTTGACCACCAGCCCTTTTCTGCGATGGGTATTTTTGAGATAGGGTCTCCAAACTATTTGTTCCAGGACTGGCTTTGAACCAGTCTTTATCTCTTTATCTCTGCCGCCTGAGTAGCTGGGATTACAGGCATGAACCGCCAGTGCCTGGCTTACAGTAGGCCT